CCTACATGGCCTTAAGTTTTAATCCTCCAGGGAGGTTCGATATCAGTGTCTCAAGCCCTTCTCCAAACCCGAGTTGTGCTGACTGCTGCGACATTATAAAGGAAATAGATTTTACAGCGACGAGAGATCATGCTGGCCTTGTGATTATATGCCAATTGATCAACCCTTCGAATTCAGTACTTGTTAATGAGAGTACTACCTTGGCGGTGCAAGGTAATCATTCATGTAAAATTTATTTAATTTCATTTAAGTGTTACTTGTTGTCTTTGTCTTCAAATATCAATATCTGTTACCAGTGTTGCATTGCCGTTAGGGGCGAATCGTTACAATACAGCTCCAAAAAGTGACTGCTGGGTTAACAACAGATAGTTTTGTTTGTATTCACAAGGAAAAGTTTCATATTCCCAACGAAAACTAAAGCTCAGATTGTTTATGCACATAAAAAGTGCTAGGCTCAAATATTTTAATTAACAACCGAATTTATACTCAAAGAGATAGTAGAGTTTTTTTTTTCGGAAATCCATGACCATGTTGCGGATATCTTTTTGTCTCGATAGATTTGACAAATAGGACCAAGTTAAAGAAAAATAATTCTCCTATTCACCTCCCAAAAGTGACGGCAAACTTTTTAGCACGTTTTTCAAAATGGCCGCCGACGCCATATTGAAATACATTAAAAGTGATATCTCGGGAACCAGATGAACCATATTGATAATGAGGTTTCGATTTCCACTATTTCTGGCATGACAAATCTGTTTAAATAGTATTCATTACGATTGCAGACCATTGTGACCTCAAATTTTAAAATGGCGGCAGGTAGCCATCTTGAAATACCAAAGTATTATATCTCTGGCACTCACTTTTTTGTTTCATAGAAGTCTGTTACAATTCGTCACCGTTTTCACGAAGAGAGAAAAGTGGCCAGAAAGCTTCATATTTTCGAACTTCTGTTTTTGGTTTTAATTGAATAGGTGAACAACAACGAACATCCTGGCAAACTTCTGTTTCTCCAAAATCATTTTAAATGAATGAAATCACGCTTTTCTCTCTTCGTGAAAACGCAAAAATGTGTTTTGCCCTCCCCAAAGTCACTTTTCTCTTCGTGAAAACGGTACGCGTTGTACGCGCAGAGGCGTAGTGGCGTAAAATGCACTTTCGCTCTTCGTGAAAACGGTACGCACAGTACGCGCAGCGGCGTAGTGCAGTAAAATCATATAGCGCTAGGGTTAAAATGCCCTTTCGCTCGGCATTTTTTTTTTAACAACGGATGCAGCTCAGTCAGCAAGATGACATGCATTATTTATTGTGTGTTACTGCAGTAGCTAACGGGAGCTTTCGGGTTACTTTGTGTTAAAAATATCAGGTCACTTAGACTGACAGTAACCTTTTTTGTTTACATTCGTAAAGTTTTTCTGTCAAATTTTTCAACCAAATTAATTACAAGAGGACCCTTCAGCTTACTGATGGAATATTCATTTTGTCTGATACCTTTAACGCAAATATAACAAAAGGGAGTTTTATGACAATGACCGTAATGGATTGCCATTTACCATTTTTTTTTGAATGCACCTTTTCGGGGGGAGGCGTGCGTGAAACGATGGAAAAAATGGCTTTAAATGAAGATGTTTTGAGTAATGAGTTGACCTGCTACACCGATAAAACATGCTTTTTTATCATTTTTATGTCTCATAAGTGCACTCTAAATAAAAACATGTAAATTATTTCAAAGTGTTTCTGTTCATCATTAAACTTCTTGTAACAGTGTATACAGAAAACGATCAAGAGAAGTACTCAGAAGATATCATTTGTCAATAAGCAGCATGCTTATGTAAAGATTTCAATTGCCACTGCAGGAGGACGTTTTGGAAGCTTGCACAAGTGCTTAGATCATTATAATAGCTTTTATTAGCGGAATGCCTCTCAAACGGGGGGGGGGGGCATTAATAAAAGGCGGCACTTCCTCAGAAAAAAGGCACATTCCGTCGGTGTGAAAGAAGAGAAAATTGTGAAACTATTTTCGTTCACATTGAAAAAAAAATGTAACCAGGAACAAAATTACTAACACCGAGATGCACTTCTAAAATGTTTGCTTTTGTTTTTAAACTTGTTTTAAATTTTAAATCCCTTACTCAAATAAATTAAAGTGTACTAGCCTTTTCTGGGTTTGCCCTTAAATTTGACTAGCTAAAGCATATGCAAAGGGACCATTTTTTTTATTGCGAGAGGGGCAATATTGCTTTGATGGTCGGTTCAGTGACCATTTTTTTGTCGCGTGAGGAGCACTATTATGTTTTTACTGGCCAGTTTTCCATCTTGAGAGGAGCACAGTTTAATAATGTTGCGAGCAGGGTCCTTATTATGCTTTCGGGGAGCAGTTTTCCATCCGGATAAGTGTTTGGGAAAGGAGCACTTTTGTTTTTGATAGGCAATTTTAAATCTCGAGAGGAGCACAAATTTTATTATTGCACAAATTTTATTATATTATTTGTGCTTTCGAGGGATAGTTTTCAAATTCGAGAAGGTTCACAAAAAGTCCTCTTGTAGTAACTTGATCATAAATGTGTGGAAACAAAACAAATAAATGAGAACAGTTTGGATGAAAAAAAAACTGTATAAATGTAAACAAAAAAATACCCAGTCCCATAGACCTGAAATTTTCAACACTTCAGTCCAAAAAGTGATTTAGTCTTGGGGATGCTAAAACATTCCCTTGTGCCCTCGAGACTAATTCGGCACATCCGTTCTCGAGGGTGTGCTTGCCTCAGCGAACAGTTACCAACAGAGAAAGCTTATATATTACTAAGAACAACAACATATATCAATAACTTTTAAATGTAGAAACGAATGAAACAAGTTGTAATGTGAAAGAAGGCAATACAAATAATGACACTTAGTTCCCCTGGAATGTGTGCGCCCAAACTTGAGTCTTAAACTACAACCTTTTTTTTTGTAAAGAAAATCAAATCGAAATAGTTCATTTATGGGGAAAAAACAAAGATATTATCAAGCGGAAAGTTACTTTATCAGCGACCATTTCATTCTTCTACTCAGAGGCGGCGGCGGAACCGGTAGAAGGGGGCACTCCGCCCCCTTGCCGATATTCCTAGGCCAACAACCGTGCCCCTCTCGCGGTTTACAATGCCACCTCGAGATGAAAACAAAACAGCCCCTCAAACTTACACGTATGAAAGCATATGATCGCGCTATCAATAACATTGTATCCTCTCTTGTAATGCAAAATTGGCCCTCAAAAACACAAGCATCCCTCTTGCATTTACAAGGTTGTGCACCTTTAAGAGATGGAAAAATGCCCCTTGAAAGCGCAAATACCTCTCTCACAACAATAAAACAAATCCTATCTAGAGATAAAAATTAGGCCGTCAATACCCACAGTCACTGTTCACCATTCTCGATAATTTATAGTGCACTTCACGCGAATAAAATGGTTGGAATAATGTACGTTGTAAAGTGTGGCGAAATCTATTGTTCTCATTATTGAGAAGCACTGCAAAAAAAAAGGGAAGACTGCTCGTCATTAATATTTTGACAATTAACATTATAACATTATAAGCAGACCAAGCCATCACTTTCCTGTCATCAACCGAGGACCCAGTCACAAGACAAGACGTCTTCAAGCTTCCTATCTCGTTCACTGTCATCGTTGTCTCAGTCACATCCTCCGTTGTTATCTGCGTTGCAATAACAATAGTTTGCATAATGAAACGAAAATACCAGCAAGCACGTACAGAGGAGGGGGTCGCAACGTCAAAAGAACTTCATCTGACAGTATGTTTTCAACTTTGTGTTGTAAGATAATAAGTAGGCCTATGTTTAAACAAATGACAATTCACACTTAAATGATTTTAATGAAATTTCGATCGACGATTGTGTCAACTGCATAAGTGTATGCGCCTTTTACAGGACTTGCACATTAAAAAGCCCCATTTCAGTTTCGACCCGGAATCTGGGTTCATATGTTGTGTTTATTCTTTCCCAATGTATAACACGATCTTTTCACCTGTCCAATGACATTTTTACCAAGATATCCGCGTCAGTAACCCAGAGGGAAATCACCCGGAGTGTCATTTTGATCCGACAGAGTGTCATCTGTTAATCTCATGAGGATTAGGCCAAATACAAGTTGAGCCGAAAAGAGAAAACCCAAATGGCAGTATCATTTTGAAGTTTTACACACAACACTTTCAAAATGTAAGATACGAAAGCCCAATTGATAAGCTTTCTTTTAGTATAAGTATTATTCAAATTACCAATGTACTTTCGGGTTATGGCATTTTAAACACAACCTCCGTCTCAAAGTTCTGTCCACTGATCACAAAAAGGGTAAGTGTTCTTTAAACACACAAAAAAACCACGAAAACAATTCACATAGGGGTGTCGTATGAATTGTTTTCATTTTGTTGAAAGGACACGCACACCATTCTTATGATTCGTGGACAGAACTTTAAAACAGTGATTGTGTTTAAGATTCCGTAACCTGAAAAGTACAAATTGATTTGAATGATTGCTTGTACTAAAAGAATACGAATTAATTGGGCGTTCATATCCGTAATTTTGAAAGAGCTACATGCATAACTTTATTAAGAAAATGGTCCTGCCAATTGGGTTTTTGTTTTCTTGGACTCACTCACCCTGTAGAATCTGACTGGATTCTGGTTCAATTTGACTTTCCAGGGCAAATACCTGTAAATTAATGCAATGAATCATATCAATGAGAGAATATAGTTCTACTTAACACTTAGAGGTAACAGGAACATCAGTATTTGAAATACTGAAGTGCATGTGTTATGATGCATTAACGGTTAAGACAATGTGTTTTCGTTAAACACAAACTCCGTTGCAAAACGTTTCCCACCAAATATGATCACAGCTTTGATTTTTTTTTCATTTTGAATAATCTTTCATTTTGAATATTGTTTTTCTTTTAATTTGCAATAATGATTGCCTAACATGAAGTTAAACAAATATATTATTTGTACTGTATGAACCAGGAAGTTTCTGCTCACGACCGAGGGACTTTCATCCAATCACATAATGTCTACGATTTTCCTCGTGGGAGGATCGCCCTGCATGAGGTACTAGGCAGCGGTAACTTTGGCCATGTCTACCGAGCCACGGCAGATGGGATATACCATCCGGGAATCAAGTCAGAAGTGGCCGTCAAAATACTCAAAAGTAAGGACGGATGGTGTGTGCTTATTACCTTTGTATTAACTTCGTTTTGGAGATTGTGTTATTGACGAAACTCAAGCGTTACTTCAGAGGGCAGTGAAATCGGAACCTGCATACACTGGATACCTCTCCATTAATCCTGGTATTGTGCACTTCCACACACTCATTAGGCCATTTTCAAAACAAAGTGACACACAGGCAGACAGCCAGCCCGACTGACAGACAAACAACGTATTACCTATTTTGCGTGTTGAACTGAGCGGTTTCTAATGGCTGGGATAAATAGGGTGAAGGAGACATAATGGCAAATCAATATAAGAAAGACGCAAAGGAAAATGTTTACATTAAAACAAAAAAATCAGCTTATTCCTTGGTATGTTTTTTTCAGAGTCGGCTGATGCGAATGTGGTCGCTGATTTTGAGAAGGAAATGGCGGTTCAAAAGGATCTCATTAAACATCCCAACATTGTGTCCATGCTTGGCTATTGCACGGAGACGCGTAAGTCAACTATGAGCCTGTTAGATGCGTCAATCATTATGACTCCTTTACAAAGGAAAGTTTAAATAAATATTTAAGGTATTTTCGGTTGAGGTCGTAAGCGATTGATAAAACACGCAGTCGATGTAAAGTTAATTTTAGGGCAATGGTTGTGACCAATTTCATAACTTCGTATGTTGATTAAATACTGACTTATTTGATGACATTTCTGCTTTGCCGAATCAAAATAGACATTGATTTGTTTGGTATTGAGCAAAACAATATACATTGGGTGTTATAAAGGGAAAAAAATCAGAGCAACTCTTTCAAGCGTCACCCTGTTCATTTCCTGGTAAGAGAAGATTCTGCTTTCATTTCTAGGCGAGGAATTGTTGACAAAGTGAGTGATAAATGACAAACTTTCAGTTTGGTATTCTGCTAGCTTAATTTGTTTGCCCATCAACCATCGATCCCGTTCGAACTTTTAGCAAATTGTACGATGCCCACACTGGCTGACAATGCCCAAACTTTAAGGCTGTTTCCGTAATCAGGGAACACCCATGATGGAAGCATATTAAATGGTTTTTACAGATAGTTTGTCTTGCAATTTTTCCTCAGAGTTCAGGCGGCGACTATAAGAATTGTTTTATTTTCTTTCTTCTTCAAATTAACCGGTTTTTGAGGTGTAGACAATCCTATCCCTAGGACTGTGTAACAATGGGTGTGGATGGGGATATTATTTAAAGTGAGTTTAAAACACCCTCAACTAAAGAACGTGACTATTTAATGATTCAAGATGGCAGAACAGTTGCTCCTCGGCGCATTTGCCGTAGCGTGCAACAGCCAGTCGAGTTGGCATTTACATTTCAGTGTTTGCACACCCCATGATGGTAATGTTGGGTTGAAATGCCTTCTTTGTCATCTTTTGTCATTTCATAGAGCCTTTTTACCTGATACTGGAGTATCTATCCAGAGGCAACTTACAGAAATACCTCAGAGTAAAGAAAGACGCCTGGAGAGATGATGCCGTTGAGGGCGCACAGCCTGCTTGCCCCTTCCAGCTCTTGACATTTGCCTCTGAGATTGCCAACGGAATGGACTACCTCTCCTCCATGGGGGTACGTGGGGTAAAGTCAAAACAGAAGTAACATTTTAACATACACTCTTACACACCCAAACACACAACTTTTTCCGAGCAGATACTAACAACAATCATACTTATCTGTGATTTTGCAAATAAGTCTCTGGTACATTTGTTGGAGCGAAATTGAAAGCAATCTACCCTAATAATTAAAAATGACTGCAGAATACAAAGGGTCTATGCCAAACATGTTTTGAAACCTTTTTGAAACAAAATGTGGCTGTTGGTATTTTCCTACAGAAATATTAAAATGAGCTCCATAAATAACCATTTCAAAGTGTGGATAATATGCCAATAAATAAGCCAATACAGTGGCTCGGTCTAATGCCGCGTATAGCGTTAAGTATGTGTTCATGCTCTTCATTGCAGTGCATTCACCGTGACCTGGCTACTCGCAACATCCTTCTCAGTGACGACCTCGTGTGCAAACTCTCTGACTTTGGATTGGCACGTGACATTTCTGAGACTGAACAATATGAGAAAACATCCCAGGTAAAGTAGCTATAGCAATCCCACTGAGCCGGACTCAACTTGATTGGCGAGATATCAAGAGAAGGATCTATTACTTCCTCATCTAAATTGCCGACTGAAAGGGGGAGGTTTGTTATTTCTGGACTCAGAGAGGGCCAGCACAATCCTCTCTATTCCTAACTGACTCACTAAATCACTGTCACTTGTGAGCCGGGCAGTAATATCTTATATGATTACCTCGTCACTCTAGCCTTTCTGAATGAATTGGGCACGATGTTGTGGGCTCTGGGTTCAGCTTTACTAGGCTTGGCATGTCTTTCATGTATGAGTTTAAGTCGTATGTGTTAACATTTGATAACAGGTTTTTTTGTTAGGTGTCAACATGTCATTGTTGTGTTTTATTTTAAGTTCACCAGTGGACTAATACTCTATGGTCTGCAGGCCTTCCCCTCTGCCTTTTTAATTGTCAAGGAACAATGTAAGCACATTGAAATGTCATTAGGTTGAATATATGGCAAAAGGGGGAAGTGACAGTCCTATTATAGTTGTCATTCGTGATAAAGTGTGTTATTTTGGGGATCTAAGGTATCTATTTCTCAAGTCTTTCCAGTTCGTGAGCCCCCTTATTTTGTAGGTACTGGCAACAGTTTTTTTTTTCTTTTTACATGCATTGACTAGCGGCCTCGTGCCTCCACGTAAATTCCTACATCCAAACTGTAATAGTCCAGAAACCTAAATTATGTTGTATTTCAACAATTCAGGGATTGGTTCCTGTTCGCTGGCTGGCTTTGGAGTGTCTCGTTCAGAACGTGTACACCACAATGAGTGACGTGTGGTCCTTTGGTGTCTTGCTGTGGGAGATTGTCACCCTAGGTATGTGTAACTAAAACTTTGTAACTAACTTGACTGGCTGCTCATTGGCCCATTGTTCTTGAAGCAAATGATTCGATATTCTTGGATCCCCGGAACGTCACGTTCTACAGTTGCATTTGTTTTTCACTCACATCATCAATTTCCCTAATTATCTATTATTCTTTGGATGTTGGGCGTTCTAAGGAATATGATTATTTGAATCTCAGCGAGCAGGTCAGAAAATAAAACGCTTATATTCACCACGTCAACTCTAAATATAATTTACTGCGCATGCGTCGTGGCTGACCAAAGCTGACGGATGCTGTTTCAATGCATGTGCACAGTACGCCAGTGTAGTTAATATAGAGGTCAGTACGTGGTCCTACCGCATGACCCGTTTGCTCAATTGCGTTTCAAGAAATGTAATCGTTGCATGCACTGGCAAACTTAAGCCTCATGAATGGGTCTCATGTAATAGATAAGTCGTCTTCAAAAGAACTATATGTAACGATATTAAGCATTGATTTTGCTCTACGCAAAACAAACAAAAACATACTGTAACGAACGATGATTATTCATCGAATCCCATTGCAAACTGCAACCAGATTTGTTTGCTAATGTTGTTAATATAATTTCCTTATTTGATGAAAAACAGACCCTTTTCCAGTTCTTTCTTATTGTAATCTAACAAATGTAACTCTATGCTCTCAGGTGACCATCCCTATCGTGGAATGTCCGCCAGTCAAATAACTGACATCTTAGCTGAGGGCTATCGGTTACCAAATCCCTCGCATTGCCACAATCAACTGTGAGTATAATGAACCTTTTGTTTAATATGAAATCAGGCTTCAAGACATAAGCCAACCCAAAGATCGAATCGACGACTTATATTGGGTTGCAATAATTATCATATGTAAATGATGGTGTCTTACATTAAGGGGAACCAGACCATTTCAGTCCTGTAAACACGAATTTAATCTCTCCTGACAATTGGGGGGACATCACCAAAAAGGGGCACTGTAAAAGGAATCTTCCGTCGCTGAAATGTCGACACGTTTTTTTTTTTTAGTTTTTTTTTACCGGACACTTAAATCAAATATTGTGTAGGGTGGGGGGCTGGTACCAAGTTCCAAAATAGGGGGCACTATTTGGGCTTTGTTTTCATATTCCTCGTTCACATCAGAACTCTCTGTTTCATTTTGGGAGATGGTTACTGAAAACAAATTATCCGAAATTTTAGGGCCCGTTTTGTTTTATCTCGAGGTGGCACATTTAAGCTGTAAGGGGCACTTGGGGGGGGGGGGGGCAAGTGCTCCCCTGTCTCTTTCATTTTTATTGTAAGTCAGATCCCAAGGTAGTTCAGTAAAAGGAATTGATAAAACAGTTTGACTAAGACAAAGTTCTTTTGATTAGCTTATCTATTAACATGAGACATGATCACGTGATAATCATGTGAAGACTTAATTATCGTTAGCTTGTGAAGATTCAATATTGACAGGGGTCTCGATGTCTTGATTCTAAATCACTCAAATTATTCTTCCTCCACAAACACCACATAATCATTTTCCTTGACAAGAGTTTCGATTTGTGTTTACAGCTACACTATTATGATTGAATGTTGGAGACATTCCCCCTCACGTCGCCCGTCTTTCGGCACTTTGAAGAGGATGTTAGACAGTATGATTCCTGACGCGAAGGTAAGCTACGTCATTTCCATGCAAAGATTGTTAACTGCCCGATACTGCCCAACGTCAGGTCAAAGTCACAATTAGTGACTGCTCTGTGCAATCAGATTAATCAGTTTGTCTATCATAGTTGCAGGCCAGTAAATAAGCCAAACATTTCCTATATTGTGGGCCATACATTTGAGAGGTTTGAAAAAAAAAAAAAAAGTTGAAGCCAGGAATAGTACTGCGAGCCTAATTTCTTTGCAGTTTTTAAGAAAGTGGGCCCTTAAATTTTACAACGGAATGTAGGTATCCTTTTTTTAAATGGTAATGTGCTTAAGGAATACTTTTAGGCGTAATCATCTTTCGATGAAATTCTTTTTCTCAAAAAGTTGTTGAATATCCCACTCCTCACAAACAAATTGAATAGAAATGAAAAATACTGAAGTAAGCTTTAATACCTTAAAGAGTTGATAGAATTTGTTTTTCTGATTTTTGGAAGTGAGGTTTTATCATGGGGTCTACGGCAGGATTATTTACAGGTCTGCAGCAATAGGAGCTCACACTAGTGGTCACTAAGAGCGCCATCTACGTTCTTGCACAGAGTATATATTGTATAGGCGTTTACGAATCCAAGGCATCGACTTCGTCTCCCAGCCCAACATTCATGGATAATCCTGCTTCGTTCCCATCCTTGGATAATGCACCAACCAACTGCCTTGCCTGACAAAATTGGCCCAATACAGAATACAATGGACCAATAATTGTTCAGTAGTCTGTCGAGTAATGTGACTTAATATCCTGAACCTCTAGTCTAAGCCAAGAATGCGTAAACACCCTTTATAAACATTAATTCAAGGCTGAAATGTTTTCATAGTAGTCAAGAGAGAAAATAATATAATAATATAACAGTTATTACAGGCTCCTAACATGAATCGCCATGACATTAGACCAATTTACACCAACACTGTCATTTATCTGTTATGGGTTCGGGCTTTTTGTCTTTGCTGGGATTTACATGCCTCGGAATCATCATAACACTTTAAAATTAAATTATTGCCTCTCTTGAGTTCTATTCTTGATTTGTCGGCATTTCTATTACATGTATATACATTTCCCCTTAACTGTACTCAAAACAAGAAAGAAATACACACAGGGTACCGCAGTTGTGTTATTTGCATGCCTCTTTTTTATTTCACTTTCATTACATGTACGCCATTATTTGTTATCATTTGATCAATTGCGTACGTGTATTACTACACATGTCTGTGTGTGTTCACCTTCATTCACATGCACTGATCGCATGACAGCCGGTCTGTAAGCTGAAGGAACAAGATGGAAATCGTTTCGTGTCTGATCCTAATGATTCTTCATGCCAAACTCGTGTTCGGTAAGCGTGGTTACTTAATTGTTCGTATTTTTTTTGTTGTTGTTGTTGGTTTTTTTTTTTCAATTAACCTAATTTTGTTATTATTACAGGTATCTTATACTTGTCAGTTTTCCTAGTGGTTTTTTTTTTCTAAAAAATCATCATCTGTATTTCTGTGTGTGGAAAATCCCTTTTTCAATACCTTAACAATAAAAGGAAAAAGCGTTAAAATATAAACTGTTCATTCTCAAACCAACTGTTAAAGCTACCCTCAAATAGCTTCCAACCGACACTGTTATGAACCGATTTATATGGTCATTTCATCTGCATTACTCGGATTCAACAGTTCTCAGTCGACGTCTTCATATCAGTTTTGTCTGTTCTTACACCTTACATAATGCAAGGAAACCTTAAAAAAGTCATAAACCTGATTAAAGAATCATCATAATTCTAAAACAAAAGCCGGAAATGATCCAAGGCAAAGAACATTTTGACTTCGAGATATGCGACCATGAGTTGAGAATGACGAGGTAATTAAATTCGGTTGTCACGACGGAAGTTTTTCAATTCGATAAGGTATTTGAACTTCATTTTTATTTTCCCGGCGATCCAAGTTGATGTTATACATGTATAGTAGGAAGTATTTGGTTTATCTGGCTGGATGAGAGAGCATTCTGGCATTATGGTCGATAGTCGAGTGACTTTAATGGGGGGGGGGGTCAAAATGCAGGAATTGTTGGCGAGCTGAAAGAGAGAAACAGGAGACGGGGCGGTTGGAATTAATGGTAGATGGTACACCACTTTTAGTTTATATAAAAAAAAAACCTAAATATCACATAAACTCCCTGCTAAATAGTCCTAAATATCCGACGTAAAAACTGAACCTTTAAAATATAAAAGAAAATAAAAGACATTAATTTGTATCACAACTACTAACAATAAATATAATTGTAAGGAAAACATAAACTGAAATCAACTTATTTTCATTATAGACAAAAACGACTCAAGATATGCCTAAACTCCAGACAGGACTTGGCAAGTCTAACTAAAGATGGATCCTCTTCTAAAAGAATGATAAAAATAATAAGTTCTTGACTGTGGGCTTTTTTAGCTCTAATTCGGTCCACACATCTTAACAAAGACTTAAAAAAGAAAAACATAAGATCTCTAAACATTGGAACATTGACTTTAACTTCCCCATCAAATGATCCTGACTCTGCAGACTTGCACTTGCCTCTAGTTCAAACGAACAAAAAAGGGACGTAGCTAAAAAAAACACACCAAAAAAACACAAAACAGTCAAGTCTCTGTGCTACTCTTGCACGTCTACCCAGGGACTGGGCTATGCGCTAAAAACCTTAAACTCTAGACAAGGAAAATTAGAATGAAAATCAAATTTACCTATTCAAAATACTCGAAAATAGAGTTATATATAACATATAATTCCAAAGAAAAATCGAAAAATGAATCTACACTACAGACCAGAATATGATCGAGTTTGGCCCAGAGTGTGTTACACACAGTGAAACAGTTGTACGGTTCTGTGAAACAACTGACAATAAAACAGTACAAAAAGGAAACTAACTTTCTCCAAGATCAAAAGAAACAACCTTTAAAACAAATGGACTTTAATAGTCTAAACTATCATCAGAGTACTTCAACCTGCAAATGATTCCAGAAATATAGGACTATTTCTTACCTGAGAGAGAGAAACTGGAACCAGGATTGTAGGAATTGATGGTAGATGGCACAGCACTGAAGCACACTGAAGCACACCACCCGATCCACTGGTCAATCTGGTTTATTTAAACAATAGACTGGCAGGCATGAGACTAAAGCAAGATAACTCTCAAAAAGAAAAAGTAAAAGACGGGGATGTTTTCAGCCAAAAAGGGTAGAATAAACTGAAGTCTGAGTAATAAGAATTGAAAATACAATACAAATCACTTGTAAAAAAAGGGGCACCCTTTACATAAATTACAATGCTTAGCATGACCGGTCTGTTATCCGGAGTGCTACATTGACGATATAATTAATTTTAGCTGCTCTTTTGGTTTGTACTAAACCTTTTACATATGCATCTTGGTGCATCGTGGTTCCTCTGAAGCATGTGACGACGCCGTACCAGAACTGAGGTTGAAAGATAAACATGTCTTCAATTCAACATTTGATGCACTATTCTAAATAACATTCATTTTTCTCTCTGTTTTGTTTCTACTAGGGCAAGCGGTCATATTGACTCAGCATCCTTCACCGGTTAGCGTTGGTCAACCAGTTACGGTTACATGCAATGCATCTTGTCACATTAATTACCCGGCCTACATCGACTTTATTTTTGATCCTGCAGGGGAGTACCAAATGAGTAACTCAAGCTCATCTAAATACCCGAGTCGTCCTGGCTGCCCCACCGACACTAAAAGGGAAATATATTTTGTTGTGACGAGAGAGCATGCAGGCCTTGTGATCACATGCCAAGTAGTATACCCTTCAGTGCGTGTTACTAAGAGTACTACCTTGGTCTTACAAGGTAATCATTCATGTACAAAATTGTGCTATTGGTGTTAAATGTTTGATAATATCAATATTTTGTGCCGCGGTACCAGTGTTGCTATACGCAAAAGGCCGGTTCATACTCGGCTAGAAAGCGAACCTGAACACAAATTTGTGCTGTCAGGGGAATTTTCGCACTGCGAATTCGCAAAACGTGAACACACTTCAACTCCGGCTAATTTCGCAGCGAATGCTTCGTGATGTAACATTTGCATCGCTTCGCTCTTACGTACGATTTATATTTCGTATCTCGTACGTACGACTTAATCTCGTACATACGACTTAGTTAATCTCATAGGAACAACTTATAAATGGCTTAGGAATTGCAACTCCTACGTATGACGTATATGTCCTACGTATGAGTTACAATTCATAAGTCGTAGGTACGACATATATGTCGTAGGTACGAGATATACTTGGTACGTACGAGATAAAAGTTGTACGTACGACATACGTCGTATGTCCTGACGAGTTACAATTCATTAGTCGTTGTCGTACGTACAAAGTCGTACGTATGGATCATAAGTTGTACGTACGAGTTAGCTGAAGGGAGAGATTTTTTTCTCACCATATCCCTTAAACATTTTCGTACCATGCTTAGTCGATTCGTGAAATACATGCGCACGCTTATGTCTTTCTCACTAGAATTTAAGGGGCTAAACAACATGAAAATAATTATATCCCCATGCTGAAAGTGGAGATTGATGACAATAGATACAAATTATTATTTTTTTTGTAATAACTAAGTTGTTGCGTTTTACTGAAAACAATAAAATAAGATTTAGATTGGAAAGTTACTTAGTGGATATGCAGTGATGCATGTGTTAATTAATAATGTCTGCTCCATCTAGTATCTGGCAAGGGAATCCAATCAATCCATCATGTTTGGTCAATAATAAATTCATTAATAATAGGAATCCCAAACTGAAGAAGACCCCGCGAAAAGCATGGCGCCATGCCTAAGCATTGGTTACATTTCTTTAAGTTTGAATAATATCGTTTCGAACTAGATCGCCCGACGAAGAGTGAGCTTTGTGTGTGGGATTCGCTGTCCTGTCATGTCTGCAAACAGTGCACACAAAATGTCAGCGTTGGCGACAGCTTGGATCTAGAGTGTACCGCAGTTGGTTCCAATCCCGTTAGTCACATAGAGTGGAAGGTCAAAGGTCGAAAGGGCAATAAAAGCTCACCGATACTCCACCAGACGAATTACTCTGAGACCCACCGTGACGGTTCTTGGTTCTGGGATGTCATCAGCAAAGCCAGGGTTGATATTCGGGAAGGAGAGATCAATTTTGGCGTCACGTGTCGAATTTTCTATCCAGACAACGCCACGTCGTTCACCGAGGAGCATCTGCAGGTATTCGTCGTGCAAGGCAAACCAAATGGTAAGCTATTATACCAGGTATCGTCGATATATTTGTGTGAATTAACGAACATTCTGTAGAAATGGTAAAATGTTGGGCAGGGACCCACTTTAGACGGTTGGAGCAACCGTTGGCTGAGAGCCTGTCCGTTTGAAATAACCTGTCAAGCAACTCCCGTGTGTGTGTCACATTTTGTACATGCTTCGTTCACATATTTTCTGGTCCCAGATGGGCAGTCCTCCCAATGTGCACGCCACTGACTGAGTGGCTGGCTGCCTGGCTGGCTGGCTGGCTGACATGGTGAATCAGCTGTGTTGATGTAAATAGATGTATGTGATTATGTAGTTCACGTGCCATGTAAAGACTTCCAGTGAATAGTCACATTGAATCAATGCAGAACAGTTCTGCGCTCTGAGACCGGCTGTACTAGGTTTGCGTCCACGTGTTAATGTTGCAAATTTCGATTTGACTTGTCTCGGCAAGTAGTCACTTCTTCTTCTTCATTCATTCATTTTCACGATGAGTTTGGCCCAACTGTCCATGTCGAGCATAGTGTTGGACAGAGATGGACCACTCAGACCAGTTTCCAGCTCGATGGATGTTTTCAGGGTCATGTTGGGACGACCTTTTCGTCGAGGGGCTTCAGGATTCCAGAGGAGAATTGACTAGCTGGCTCAATAGGGAGGTTTCGCAAGCGAACGGATACGAATACACTTACGCTGAGCTATCCGTATCCGTTTTTTACTTACGTGTAGCGAGCGAGATATGCGTGTCGTCTGCACGTTTAGCGGATAGTGAGTGGCGTATGACGTCATACGTGCAGACGACACGCATATCGCGCTCGCTACACGTAAGTAAAAAAACGGATACGGATAGCTAAACGTAAGTGTAAGCGTATCCGTTCGCTTGCGAAACCTCCCTATTATGTCGATAAACGTGACCGGCTAGCCGAAGGCGACGCTGTCTGATGGTGGTGGAGACAGGGGGAAGGGCACCATACAGAACAGAGTTAGGGAGATGTTGTTGTCACACTTGAAGAAGAAAATTGGGTTATCGGACAAATTCAACACTAACGGCTCATTGCTGTTATATATTTAATAATTTAGTCCCATCAGAGAAATATTCCAAGCTGTTTTACACTACTGCTGCAAAGAAAATGTAATTTGGCTAAAATAAGAGTTGGGGTTGCTTTGTCCATAACAAGGATATACAATGTATAATAAAAACGACTTTGCTAAAGCTCTAAGATACATGATATCAACATTACACATATTCTGTGTTTTTATCTTTAGAATCCAGAAAGAACATTTGGATGTTAGCAGTGGTGCTATCCAACGGTCTGGTAGTCTTTCTTGTCGTCACACTGTGTTGCATTGCTTTGAAGATTCGGAATTGGAGAAAGAAGAAGAGGAATTCTAAAGGAGATGGCTCTTCTCGGATGATTTCACTACCATTCGGACAAGAGGTATGTTTAATGTTTTATGTACTCCATGAAATGACAATTTGTTTAGTCTCTTTTCCACAGTCCATTTTTTTTCAAACAAACTTGAGCTTTATTTTATATACATTTAAACCAGTAGAGAACTTAATTTTACAAAATTGACAACCTCGTATTAAAAAGAGAGTTTTATAATGTTGCAAAGTGTAACTTGTGTTTTATAGTATCATGGATTTTTCTTAAAGCTTCTTAACTCATTCGTTTGTGTTGAGACGACAGTTGAAAATAGATTATAATTTGTTGCTGAGATTATCACAAAAATGTTCATCAGGGACTTCGTGGTCTGTAGCACTGAATTCGTGGTCTGCGGGTAATTGTGCATGTTTGGGGGTTCGAGTCCAGCCTGGGGTTATTCTGCTTATGCCCTTCGGCAAGGCACTTTGTCTCTAATAACTTCTCCCCACCCAAGGGTAAATTGGGTACCTGTGAGAGAGCAGAGATTGTTATTGTGGTTGATTTGAGCCCCTTTGCGCCGAAAAGGCAGCATCGAGCTGTATACTCCCCAGTGAGCTGAGGTTGTCTTTGGAGTGTTTCATCGACCCAATGAGAAGGTTGATAATGAGAAGCGCCTTAAGCACCAAAACTGATGGATAGATGCGCTTAATAAATAAACACATTTCACTCAACCCCCCAAAAAAGAAAAGTCCCCCTTCCTATATTTGTTTGTCTAGCTCAAAACTACTGAGCACCTCTCTGTCAAATAACGACTAATCAGTACAAAAAATAGCAATCCAGCCATACTCTCTATTTAGCCCCAAAACAGTAATAATGTGTACGAATTCATGCAATTTATGATAAACGATACCGAGACCAGTTGCACTTTTGTATACGTGCACATTGTGGTTCACACTCACCCTGCACGCACATAGAAGGGTAACCTTGTTTTTGTACCATTTGTCATCAATTGCATAATTTTGTACACATAATCACTGTTTTGAGCCAAACAAAGAGTATGGCTGAATTTCTGTAATGATCAGTCGTAGTTTGAGCGAGGTGTGCGTAGAAGTTCTTGAGTTAGACAAAAGAGTATTGAGGGGGGGGGGACTTTATTTTTTGATTGAGAGTTTTTAGTAGCAGTACTTACCGTCCGAGGTGAAGTCCAATCCATCGACAGTCAAATCACAAGTGAAGTTATAATTAACAGGGGCTAAAGAAATATCAATTTGTATGGAAAGCTAGTGACGTGACTAGAGAGACAAGATGACCTGTGATGATCTGTGATGGCTTGTGATTGCCTTGTGATCTGCTTTGGATTTACCTATGACTGAGTAATGAGGACTTTTCTGTGGACCCAACTTTATCCGAAGTCATACATAACTTTTTCATCCCTATCCACTCTTTTTCCCCCACGTGTTTAGGAACGACAAGGAGGCGCTCTAAGATCAGAAGGTACCCTCGATCGAGTCTCCAAGACCTTTATTCCAGAATTGGAGTTTCCAAGGAATAGAGTCAAACTTCAAGAGATTATTGGGAATGGTAACTTCGGCCAGGTCCACAAGGGCATAGCTAAGGGAATAGTTCGTAATGGAGTCGACACTACGGTTGCTGTCAAGATTATCAAAGGTGAGATACATTTTTTTTCAAGATGATTCGGAATAGGAGAGATTGCCTTTGGTGTGGGTTTTTCAGAATTTACAAAAAGTTAACAATGTAAACATGTGTTTAGATTTAATACGCATTTTAACCCCACAATTCTACAAACTTTATAAACATGTTTGGATCTACGTAAGACATGTTTAGATTCTCAGATGTCATGGATATGATTTACACCTCGTACGAAGTGTTGCTGTACCATCAATTGTAAATTGTAATAGTGAACACAAATCACTTTAAGTCGTAAAACTCGGTCTCTGCGCACTTTTGTTTCTTTTTTTTTATCACAAGATGTCTTTCAAAACTGGAAAAAAATCTATACCTGACTATTTCTCTATCTTGTTTTAGAACAGTAATGGATTTAAATTGCTAGAAAAAAATGCGGATTACATCGAATGCCAATTGCATAATGCTGATAACACAACATAATGTGCTTTGCTAAGGATAAAACATCAGCAAAAGATGTACTTCTGAAGGTGAATTTTTGTGAATGATTTTCTTGTTGTAAATGTTGGGCTGTTAATATTTGTCCAGCAATATTACTGGTTTTCCTATCTAAGGTCGTGTGCCCTGGATTCGAGGTCATGCCATCCAGCTGTTAATCACTACAATGTGCCTTATGCGGTTTGTTTTCTGTGACAAAAGAGCTAGGTTACAATCTGAACTATATATCATGCTGTTCTTTCTTTGTGACTGATTGTCATGTGATAGTGTAAAGCACAGTTATTCTTCTGACTAGCAGGTCAACGAATTTGGCGAATATCAAATTGGCTTCTTGCATTTCTATACATGTAATATTCCCATGACGCGTGCTACAGTGTGATATTCAGCAAACTACAGCCTTAATACATCAGTATTATACGCAAATACTTTCCACCCTGCGGTGTAGCAACTGTGGTTAACCCTCAATATACAAGGAAATGTTCCCTCACTAAGTCTCACTTTCGCTTCAAGCCTTTTTGCGTGAACAGAAATGAAAGAACAAAACACTTTGAACAGGAAAAGTGTATTATTGTTCCTAATGGTTTTTTTGCTTTCGATATTAATTAAAATTAGCAATATGTCACGCAATAAATCTTTACCAACATGTATTGATATTAATCCAGCTGCATATAATTAAAACAAAAATACAATCACAATACGGAATCCTTCCAACGTATATAGATGTGTTTATAGATAAATAGGTGGCGGATCCTACCATGGGCCACACGATATAGAAAAATCAAGTCAAAAAAAAAAATGGCACATGCTTGCTTACCTCCTCACCGTTGAGTGCCCAACCCCCCTCTTGAGCCAAACCCAGATCCACCCTTGTAAATGTAATGCTTATGGGAAAAGAAAAATAGATAACAGAAACATGTATTTTGTTTAAAGGTGAGAGAGGCTCCTCTGTCTGGTCAGATTTTAAGAATGAGCTGAGCATCTTCAAGAACCTGAAACAACATCCCTACGTGGTGTCTATTCTTGGATGTTGCACAACCGAAGGTAGGCGCTGATTGAGTTTTTACTGTACATCACTAAGTCAACCAACCCGCATGCATAGAAGTATCACGCGATAGAGAACATTAAATTTGAGTTATGATTAGGGGTTAAATAGTGCCTTGCGTCTACATATTACGTGGACGTTACTAATATCATCATTTCAACATACATGCCTATTTGAGAATACTGCAGTGTATTGCATAGTGATCTCTGTACCCAAAGTGATCATTTGTGACCATAACTATCAAAATGTGGACAATTGAGGGGGCTATATACAACTCATCAAAATGGCAGCCTCCACTAGTACAGCTTCGCGGTGAGTTTCTTTAGATTTTGTTTTAGAAATTCTTCTTTCTCTAAGTAATGGTCAGTTGGTGGTCAATTTATGTTGATGTAGTGATTCAGGAATGTAAGGGGACACTTTACTTTGTAAAATATCATATATTTTTATGTGGTTTATATAGGCAAACAAATTGTCCACTTTTGTGGACACGGGGCACTAATTGATAAGGGCGCCTATCAACATATGTGGACGTCAGGCATTGTGGCACTGTATTGTATGCACCTACATGTACTTCTATAAATGTTATATCAACAACAGTGACAATCTCGAAAATACTTGTATTCTTGTTTTGTTTTGTACTTTCCTTAGTGTTCATCACTAATTTTTGTATGTCGTCCTTGCCAGTATGTACATGTATGTGATGTTTGTGTACTAGTGAACCAGAATGTTTAATTCATGTTGAAGAATTTCGATATTGTCAGTGGAATATTGACATGTATGCCTGCTCGGAATTTTACATTATTTCCACATTTCATTCTTGCCATTTTCTTCGATTATTGCCAGAATGCTTATCACTAACCATCTTAATGAATAAATGTTGCAACTGAAGTTGAATTTTACACCAGACACGTGTCCACAGCTCAGTTTATATCAGTCCTAATTCATGAGGAATTTAGTGTATAACGCAACTGTAAATGCCTGACGTCCACATATGTGGACGTTTCGTAAATTGAAAATTAAATATGCAAATTGGCAAATGTGAATATTTCTCCAATTAGTGAGCCTACAGTGAGACACACAGCCAGTAGTATCAAGTTTAGTAGCCAGCAAGTACTCTCAGGCACTAAAGGGTTAATCGCCACTAACGCTATGCCACTCACTTTAACCCGCGTACGATACTCAGAATACCTTCAGCACTTACCCCACTTCACCTCACCTTACCTCACCTATTTGATGGTCCCAATGGGTGACCGGTATTTGGGTGTAGGTAAACTATTTTGTATGTCCCCTCCCCTATTTTATCCAAAACAAATAGTACTCTCCTATACTGTGTCCAACATAAGGTTATTAGATGCCTGTACACGTTTTCCCACATTAAAATGTCCAGAGCCTTATTACATCATCATGGAGTACATCCGGAATGGAACACTGCAAGACTACATCACGCAGAAACGTCTAGCTTGGGGCAAGGCGAAGACGAGCGGCACTGAGAGTGCATCCAAGGAAGCGCTCAGTGCAGTGCATATACTCATGTTCGCTTTTGAGGTCGCTAATGGCATGGAGTATCTGTCCTCTGTGCATGTAGGTTCAGTAGTTTAGGTATTATTTGTTTTTCTCTCGGTAAAATAAACTGTTTGAACAGTACATAACTGCTGCAATTACTGACATGTTTCCAATCCTTTTCTACGCTTTATTTTGAAAATTGATAAGGTGTCCCTACTCCTTTTTAAATATTTTGTTACAGCATGGAAAACATTTCTTCGTGAACATGTATTTTTGAGAGGAGATTCCCTCCAAAACCTGCTCCGTTAATCGTATTTCGAGAGAACGCTGGAAAAAGTAATCCTGTTTTAGTTTTGCTTTTGTTTGCTTTCAGAGAAATTAATCATCCCAATCATAAACAGTTATATATGTTTGTACAGAAGCAGGGTTTTTTTTTCAACATGACAGGCCATCGCGAGATATGTTTTGGTTTCGCACTTTGAGGTGATCATATAAATTATTCACGAATTATTGAGCCCACGCAGTGCGATCTGAATCGGCCGCAGAAAGTTCAGCCTTCATCAAACAATGGAAAGTGAAATTCCTTTTTTTTCTAATTACCCACAGTTGATTCATCGTGACCTGGCAACACGGAACGTTCTATTGGGGGAGGGGTTGGTATGCAAATTGTGTGACTTCGGACTGGCTCGTGACGTCACAGGAAGCGAGCAGTACGAAATGTTGTCAGGGGTAATAGTTCATTTAAATTTAGAATGTGATGTTGACTAAGTGGGCCGACATTGCCTTTTTTTTTAATCGCAGGCCTATTTTGGGTTTTCTTCCTGTTTCCTTCATTGACTGATTAACTGAGTAATTAAATAAAAAAAAATGTCCGAAACTGAAGCTTTGGGATTTACCTCAACTAGGCATCTAATCATGTTTGTGGTATTTTACCCCGTGATGTCAAAAAACTTTTGAGAAAATATTAACATATCAGGGGTTCCACATGTGTATCAATGTGGGATATCATCTGTTTATGGTTAAATCTCCTCTTTGAAATGACATCCTGATTATGTCATTACATTCACGGTTGATTGAGCAGTGACCAATTTTATGAAAGGGTTTATTTGGATAATTGCGCCATTTTTCAATTGTGATTTGAAGTTTTGTGGTGTCATTTGTCACAGAGTGAAAGGTTGTGGTTGCCAATCCAGGCAGATGAAGTAAAAAGAGATTTCATCATGACAAGTGCCGCAATTCTGTACATAGACACTTTCATAAAATTGGTCACTGCTCAGTCAATCGTGAATGTAAGGACATGACCAGGGTGTCATTTTTTAAAGAGGAGATTTGACCCCAACAGAGTATATCTCCCTTTGATTCAAGTGTTCCCTATAATCTGTTCCATTATAGCAATAATATCTCGGTTTCTTTTCTTTTTTTTTCTTTTCCTGAAAGTCAATGGGAAATTTCAGACTTTGTTATTATAATCTCTCTTTTCTGTGTTTAATATTTGAGATACTACGAAATATGCATTTCTGATATGTGTATCTCTGCCAAAAAGCCTTACCCTTGTTGATTATTGTACATGCTGTCATTGGTCGAAAGTGTTAAATGAAGTATAAAAATATGAAATACATAAACGACAATCGAAAAGAACAGTCTCCACACAAGTATTATGTAAGTGCGTTGTACACAAGTTATATATTTGATGGATCGATACATGGGCGTCGCCAGGATTTTTTCTAGAGGGGGGCAAACAATTTTTTGGCCCAAAAATGCTTGTATTTCTCAACACATTCTCGATTTATCAGTTTTAGAGGGGTGCAGAGACATATTGCCCCCCCCCCCAACTTATTACATTTACACCACTTTGTCTTCGCGCCTCTTTTTCTTTTTGTTTCTTTTCTTTTTTTTCTTCCTTTTTTTTTTTTTTTTGCTTTTCGGGGGGGGGGCAAGTACCCCCCCCCCTTGCCCCCCCCCCTCGCGACGCCCATGGATCGATAATAAATTGTCTCTTCTTTTGATATATGTTAAGCTTTTTTGATGAGCTTCTTTATTTCTATAAATAAAATGTATTCTATTTTGTTCTTAGCTGTAATTTACCCTGGTTCTTTGTCATTATATTACCCGATCTGTGGTGATATTTTCAGAGTGCTGTACCCGTTCGTTGGTTGGCCGTGGAATGTCTCCTGTCAAACACGTATACAAACAAGAGCGACGTGTGGTCGTTTGGGATACTTCTCTGGGAGCTTGTCACGCTCGGTAAGTACAAAAATAATTTCTTGTTATTGTTAGTATTGGCGGTGGCAGTGGTGGAAGTGTTGCAACGTTTCAACACCGCCGCCACCACCGCCAACTGGTTGTAGTTGCTTTTTGTGGCTGTCGATGTTGCTGTTGCTCTTGTTTTTGATACTGCAGCTCCTGTTGCTTTTACTGCTGTTGTTCTTGTTTTTTGGGTAATTTCTGTCATCGTAGAAATTGTTGTTGTAGGATGTGTCATTGACATCGTCGTTTTCGTTGACATCATTTTAGTCGTTCCTGTCATTTTTCTATTTTTTCTCGATTTTTTTGTTGTTGGTGTTGCCGTTGTCCAATCCCACTCATGTTTGTCAGTTATCATAGCGTAATTATTTTGTGACATGAACATAATTACATAAGCGTGTAATTTGGGCAATCCGATTTTGTGCTTTTAAACTGCGGGATAATTGCCAACACCATACTTACTTTTGCTGAAATCAACAGGTGCTCTTCCCTACCCTGATATGTCTCCGGATGCCATTGTTGATTCTGTAAGACAGGGGTTCCGACTTCCAAGACCTGCGCACTGTGGACTGGCTCTGTAAGATATTCTTGAATCACACTGTATAACAAAGTCGTACATATGACAGCAAATAACGTTCCATGCCTGTGATCGTCAGTGGTGTCGTGTGAAATATGGACTCCTCGGGAACCAAATCCCCAAACCCCACACGTATCAGTGAGTCGTGAGTATTCCGTGTACTGAAACATGCACAATACGGTTACAGAGTCAATGTTTCAAGGGGTTTAAATTGTAAAGTACACCCGTCTGAATTATAACTTTGTGTAAAAAATGCAAAAGAAGACTTACCACTGACCCTTGCACTTAGATCATGTAGGTTTATGGATTCACATTGAAGCAAAGTTTAATTGATCATGACCCGTTCCAAAGACTCATATATTCAATCAACCACGAGGTCCATTATTTTGAACGGACAACATAATGTTCAGTATCTTTGTTGTTTCAGGTACAATTTGATGGCTTCTTGCTGGAAGGCTTCGCCCAAAGCGAGACCGAGCTTCACAGAACTCCAAACCAAACTGGACCACTTCCTGAAATTTGATTCGGTGAGAAATTGCATTGAAATTAATTACATCTCATGGACGTATACATTCTCAACACAAGACAATGCCCAATAGCCCACTTGAAAATGTATATTTTCGTACATTTGACTACTCAATGAGCTAATTCATTGTCCACAGTGGCGTAGCCACCGGAGGGGCGTGGGGGCGACCCCCCCCCACGAAACCTTGTCGCCCCCCCCCCCCAGTCGCCCCCACTGAGATTTTAAGTTTCTAAAAAAAATATCATTGATCTACATGACGCCCCCCCCCATGAAATGTTCCAGCCCCCCCCCCCCAGGCGCCCCTCCACTGAAAATTCCTGGCTACGTCACTGATTGTCCATATCCAGTAATCACATACCATACACACAATTAGACAGCTCACAGGTAACAACAGTTCATTATCAGCAGTAAGTGAGTCGGAGAAGTACGTGAGGAACTACACACTTGACCGTTCAGGGAAGCGGCAAAAAGTAAAGCCCAACCATTTCTCCTGGATTGGTGGAGCTCTGCAACTATGATCGTTTTGGTTTTACGTTTCTTATTTTGTTTTGCAGCGTCAGAAATAGCTGTTTCGTTGGGGCAAGCTTTACAAAAAATGCTTGTTTCCTTATTATTAACGTTCTAGGAAGCACTGGACATGCCGAACTTCGTGGCTAATTATTACGCCTACCCTGAAGCATCTAAGAAGGGTTACACGCAGGTGGCGGAGTCTCAGTGAGGGAAGAACGACCGCTATGGGAAAATGTTTGAGTTTGAGGAGAAAATGACGAATTTTGTATATTGCACCTAAGTCTTTGTTGTAAGACATGTGTTTCTTGTTGGTCACCTTTAGTAAATGACACCTTTAGTAAAATATGTAAGCTATTGGACACAATAATGTAGTTCACTTTACTTTTGTATATAGGCCTGTATGTATGCAATGTCGGAATATAGTTACAATCCCGACTATTTTGGAGTTTTAAGATCATGGTAAAACGTTCACATGTAATATAACAACCACAAGACATATGGACTCTGTTATTACTTAATTGAGAATTTAATTGATATATTTAACATAGTGGCCTTAGGCCTACAAATTATGTGTATATTGATATTATTGACAAAAGTAAAGAATGATTACAGTGCTCACCGGAAAATTACTCACGAGCTTTCGGTGCGATGCACCTTATTCTTCGGGGGACTATGGCTGAAGAAGGTACACCACACTGAATGTTTGGGAGTAATTTTCCGGTTTGCACTTTGATAATTGTTTACTTCTTGTCATATATGCACCACAGTGCTATACAGCATCTCCAGCTTTGTAACTGATATGATATTGGGTACATTATGGTTACGCAGCGGCGTATCCGGAGTTCTCACCATGGGGGTGGGGGATTTGGCTAGATCGATGTTTTTGCTCGATCAATAGTCGGGGGGGGGGGCGTCAAAGTTCTGTTAAACCAGTTAATAACCATGGTCATTTATAGAAGACTGGGGAAAACATTTTTTTTGTACTTGGGCGGGATTTGTGCACCCGTCCCCGACCACGCCACTGTTTAATGTATATATCATGTCTCCTGTAAGACTGTATTTTCAGTTGGCAACAAATTATGAAAACATCTACAAAAAGCTGAGACATTATCATGGGTCCTGCTTGTTCACTATCGCCAGTCAGTGCTGTTTAACAACTTGTCATGCAGTGAAACAGCTTTTCATCGCTCTAAGAAAAGGCGTTTGTCCTTTAAACTAGCATAACTATCCTGTTTGTTAGAAAGAACAAGGACGAAAAATTGAAGTCAATTTATCAGAAATCAAATCACTGTTCGGGAAGCAGGGCGCCACCATTATACCCTTCAGTAATTTTGCTTGTTTATGTGAAAACAAAAACTGCTTATAAGTGGTTTCTTTTTTTAGAAAATATGACGTTATAACACAAATATGTTGTTTTGATACGGATCAAAGCAAACACTGATAGTATGCTATACAAAACAACGTACGGTGCCTGTGGTAATGCATTGTGCTTGTGAAACCATACTTTACTGGTTCTAAAGCCGGAACTAAATGTTTTTATTTGCATGTTGTATTTACGCTTTAAACAGAAATGATATTAGTAAAGCCCGCATATTTTGATGTTGCTGTATATTGTATTGTCACTTAAAAGAATAAATAATGCATCAACCTTAAAATCATGTTGATCTTCATGTAGATGTTAATGTAAGTGTAAAACGAATTAAAGTGCTGCGGCCAAATATGTGCCAAATCTCACCTTCAAGCTTTCGTGTTCAAATCCCATATTCGTGTACTTTGTATTTATTAATATTTCATTTATGTATTATTATTATTTCTTTGGTTTTCAAATTGTCTCAACATCATAAATTGTGTGTACAGATTTATCAATGTTACTAACCAAATCCCACGCAATTTACATTACGACGCATATTTCCATGCATAGTTGTATTTCTTTTCATTGCCAGTTCTCCGACAACTGTCAACCGTCAGTTGACCTATATTTCCATGTTATCAATGCAGATCCTTGCTATGCCCTTTGACCGATTAAGGCAATTTGCTACCTTTGGAATTATCCTTTTGTTGTTGCATACAGCTGCTGCTGCAGCTGTTGAGCTCGCATATTCAACCAATAGCAATAGTATATACAATAGAGTATAATAGCTGACTAGTGAACACCCCATACATTGATGGAACAGCCCGAGGTTATTTCGAGTGCAATGAACGATATACCTTCCTGCGCTTGGTTGGCAAAATGCATTTTTGCCAACCACAGCCTGCAAAACTATGGAAGGTCCAACACTGCAAAAATGAAGAAGAGTTATTACAGATCACCAAAATATTATTTGATACTTGAAAACACAACATTTTCAACAAAGCTACAAAATAATTCCTACACATGCCTTTTTTACTATGTGTTGATGGCGTTATGAGGACTTTTTTGGAAAAATGTTGTTTGCCAACCACGGCTTCAATTTATGCGCTTACGGCAGCCCATACAAAATGGGGCCAATGTTTACAAACAAGAGAGAGGCCTATTGCTATGCATGCCTACCTGGCAAAAGGTGACATCTAAAAAAAGACTGTAGGTTGAAGTCTAGCGCTACATGTACATCTCTTTCAAATGCCCTAACTGACCCAATTTTGTTTATTTGCTCGTCTTTACTTCTCGCCACTGGCTTAGATTGGTGAGTATATTAGATTAGTTGCATCAAGATGCTAACAAAAATCGATTGAATCGACCATTATTTTGGGAAGGTTTGAAGACTTTGGAGAACAGGCAATCGGGGTTTTCCATTTCTAATGCAATACAATGCGTGGCAGCCATTTTTCAAAATGGCTGCCACGCAAATCTACTTTTACCTATATATTGGTCTCTGAGAGCCGTAGAGGCACGATTCTGATGTCTATACCCATCTTTTCAGGGCCCAGGAATCCAATTAGAATAGCGGTAACACCATTGGATCGTTTGGTAGTTGATTGCCATCTTGAATTTCAAAATGGCAGCCAACATTTTAAATTGGACGCCAAGCAATTTTTTTTCTGCCCATACCCTGGGCTATGATATTTATAGGTGACTGTATATCCATGCTTTCTGTGTCAAAGACTCCAATAAGAGCAGTGATAATAAAAAGCCACTTGTTTTGGCAGCCATATTGAATTTTATAATGGCTATCGTTGCTATTAAAACGACCATCACAACTGTTATTTTATTGTACGGAAAGATGTGCAAACACCATAAAGATACAGCTCTATGGCGCACACATTTACAATGTTACAAGGGAAAATTATAAGGCTCACTGATCCGGCTATATTTATTGTGTAAAGGTGCCAGATCGAGGCTCTGCATGCTTATGGCGGGAGTGTGCAAAGAGCGAACTGGGTAAAAGAACAAGTACTGAACTTTAGTACGCAGCGCGCAACTCGGCAGTTTTTGACACTTCTTGTTAAGGTCCGACTGGAGCGTCCGGTTTAATAAGTATATGGCTGGATGCGCAAGGTAAACACTGCATGTGTGGCCTTCTGTACTCAACCCGACAATTATGTGTTTTTTGTTCGAAAGTGTTCCGCTATTTAATGGTTCAAGCACATCTCACAAATAAAACTTTTTTGCTTTCAGGGTTTTTGAAAACTAAAAGCTAGAATTACTAATTCCTGTTTTATAATTTTAATGAGATTCGACGATTGTTTTACTTTAAACAGTTACATATAACATGCATTTAACACAATACATTGAAGCTGTAATTTCACCCGCAGATGAAAACAAAATGAAGATATTTCTACTATTCCTGATCTTCATTGGAGTACATGAGCATCTAGCCATGCATTTTCAGCGCCACCTGGAGGCAAAAGATCTCCCTGCCATCCGAAGACGACTCAAAAGAAGTGGTAGGTTTATGTGTTTATTGTTTTCAAACACAACATTACACTAGAAAGTGAATAATGTTTTCGATGAAATCTCTGTCACATCTCCACCCGTCACATGAGGGCGCTATACACTTGCCCAGCATGGCTGATAAAAGAAGTGATTGTTAAGGGTCCACTGTACTAATTCAAGCCCCATGGAAAACAGTGTAACAACAACAAAATTCAGGGCCAAATAACATACAAGCCAACATCACTGGGGTTTCTCAAACAAACAAAAAATTAGTGCCTTGTCTTTCATCTTTCCATTTCTTTTCAATTTTAGGTAGATTAGCCAATTACATTTTTTAATATTCACACCCAAACAAAATCACCTCCCGAAAAGTGATAGATCCCAAGCCAGCATGTAACCATTTTTCAAGTGGCATCCTTCCATTTTCACAGGCAAATATGATCCACTTTTCATCCGTAATTTTATCAAGCCTGCCCTCAAATCGAAGCCCCCAAAACTGGGAGTTGATCCTTGGGTATATTAACACAATTCCACGATTTTTTTTAAGCCAAACGTCTCCGTTTTCAAAAGAAATTGTAGGGGCACTTTTGTATGCCGGTGACTCGCGTACAAATTCTCACTTGAATTAGTGCACCTTTAAGAAGTAGCTGTGCATATTCCCGTACACATTCTTGAGTAAGTGAGAACACTAACCGGACTTCTGGCGTAACATTTCGTCAGGCACGTTTGTTTATGGTGCAAATCGAGGACACACATGCAACATCATCAGTGAATCGAGAACAAGGAAAAACGTATACAAAACCAATGAGCGGTGATGCGAACAAGTTAGGTACAAACAAAGGAAAAGAAAGAGGAACAAAAGAACATCCTCACTTTACACCATAAACAAACGTGCCTGTACGTGTACATGTACGTGCGGTAGCATACACACCCGCGACAACCTGAACGGCACCAACCCAAGTGCTGCTTTTACACCCGGTAAGCTGTGTCTGCTTATCCTTGTCATCCGTTTACTGACTCTAGACAACCGCCATGCCAGAAAACGCTGGTCTACACCCAAGAATGCAATGGGATGATCCAGATCAGGCAAATGCAATCCACTTGTTTTAAACAGCAGTGTGCCCTATACTTCTCAGTCAAAGACATTCATATAGGCAAGCAAGTGGGTCACATTCACACAGAGAGACAACGAAACAGTCGATGAGTTCTTGTCCAGACTAAAACTACACGCAAAGAAATGCGACGTCAAAGATGATAGTGAGTTCCAAGATCGTGTCATTGAACAGGTCATCGCAGGTGTGACATACACAGACTTACAAAAGGAACTACTCGGAAAAGACAAACCCCTTACACTGCAACATAACCGTACGCATGAGGCATCGATAAATCACATGCGACAACTGGCCCAGGTTCAACCAAAATGCACGGTGTGAATCTCGGATAACTTGGCTACTCAAAAATACAAAACAGGATTTTGGGGGACATTCCTCATTTTGCCCCAGTAGGTCACATTGTGGGTGAAAGTTGACACAGGCGTTCAAGGCAACAACTTGCCCCTTCACATGTACAGCCGAATGCATCCAGATAGACTCACTGCCGACGGTTTCCCGTAACCAGAGTTAGTTTCCAACAAAGTGGATTAAACAATGCGGAATTCTTCATCGTAGAGTCCGAAGGCCCAGCAGTACTGTCCACATCACGAGAATTTAAACTCGTGACACTACACCGTGCAATCACCAAACCACCATGTCCCCCTATCAACTCAACACAGGAGCTCAAGCGGCAGTTTAACATAATTGGCAGTTTTCAAGGCACATATCACACCGTTTTCAAAGACGGAGTACAACCCACTATCAGTGCCCCTTGTCGATCCCCCTTAAGGTTGAAGGATGAGCTCAAAGCAGAGTTAGACGGCATGAAGCGACAAGGCGTTATCCGACGCGTCACAGTACCAACTGATCGGATAAGCAGCTGCACTTCTCCTGAAATTACCCATAAGTTCTCAAGTGCCCAGTTCTTTAGTAAGTTAGACGCGACAAATGGCTACTGGTCAGTGCGACTAGATGACAAAGTTCCCTACTCAAAACTGTCAACAGTTCCTTTGACCGATATTGTTACTTGAGGCTACCGTTTGGGCTTGTGATGATCCAAAATGTGTCCAGATGCGCATGGACCATGGTTTTTCAAGCCCAGGCACAATTAACATCGCAAATGACATTGTGGTTTTCGGTGCAACAGAGGACGAGCACGATCACAATCTTCATCACCTATTGAAGGCAGCCAGCCAGTATGGGTTGATGTTCAACAGTACACGCGCGATCAAAACTCCGAACACCAAGTTTTTTCTACAGATGTGACTTCCTCAAGACAAGACAACACTCCAAGAATACCTCGGCATAGTGATCTGCCACAGTTTATTCATATCCCACCTGTCCCAACACAAAGCTGATCTCAGAGGGCTACTGAAGAAAGACGTCGACTTCGTCTGGTCTCCTTCACAACAGATAGCGTCTTAGAAGGTCAGAAATCTCACCTGCATCGAGACGATCTTAACCTACTTCGACCCCACAATACAGGTAGATGCGTTTAGCAGAGGCTTAGAAGCAGCCTTGACCCAAGATTGACCACCAATTAATCGCCTTTGCATCCAAATCATTGAGCGAGACAGAACAGCAATACGCCAACATTGAGCGTTACCCCTCGCTGTAGTCTTTGGGTGTGAACACTTTCACACGTACGTCAATAGTAGCAGTTTCACTGTTGAGAGCGACGATAAGCCCTTGGTGATGATGTCAAGGTCATCTACCGTCCTGGTAAAGAGATGATGACGACCACATCTACCTTGAATTACATGTGACGTTTGTCAGTTTTACCCAACTTAGACTGCACACACTGCAGCAACACACTGCTTCAGAAACAGCCCTCACCAAGCTGAATGATTGAATCATAAGTGGATGGCAAGAACGACGACTTAAGCTACCCAAAGTTCTCCATCACTATTGGCCTTTCCGGGACGAGTTAGCTGCAGCAGATGGTCTGACTGTTAAATGTGAATCCATCATGATCCCTGCTACACAGCAGCAACATGTTCTCTCCCAGCTACATGAAGGCAACCAAGGCAGTGAGAAGATAAAACTACGAGCTAAAGACTGCGTCTACTGGGTTGGCATTACAAGCGACATCGAATCATTGTTCAAAAACTGTCCAACTTGTCAGCATTTCCAAAGAAGACAACGGCTAGAAACTCTACGTCAACACACTGTCCCTACCCAACCATGGAAGTCGTAGGCATAGACTTGTTCTCCTTTGAGGTTGAGAATTTCCTCATAATAGCTGACTACTATTCAAAGTTCCCAATTCATCAGAAAGCTTTCAGTCCTATGTACCAGCTCAGCAGTCATCAACGCCACCAAGCAAATATTTGCTGAACATGGTATCCCAGAACGAGTCGTCAGTGGGATTACATAGTGGCACGACACTACGATTATTCAAACTACAAAAACTTCTCTCAAACCCGGGATTTCGACCACATCACGTCCTCGCCCCATTACCTTCGTTCCAAAGGTTTCATAGAGAGAGCCATTCAACTGTAAAGAAGACGTTGATAAAATGCCTGATCCAGTGGTAATGACATGCAAATTGCATTGCTCTGCATCCGTACTACCCCAGTTGATCACGCGAGATGAAATCCAAGACCGTTTCTTTCAGCGCCAACTGAGCCAGAAACAGTACCACGACAGACGTGCCACCGACCTCTAACCTCTGAAGACTGGTCAAGCAGTCTCCATCCGAGATCCGATATACATGAATTACTGAATACAAATCGTTGTCATTTACCCGATTCTACCTTCTCGGATAGACTGGCTAATGAGTTTGGTGATTTCTTTGTATGTAAGGTTGAAAAGATACGTTCTGAAGTAGATAACGTTGCTAGTGCTGGTACACCCATTAGTGCTGGTACACCCATTGAACATGGGGATAATAACCGATTGTGTTGCACTATGTCTTGCTTTGAGCCTGTTACTGTAGATGAACTAACTAGCCTTGTCATGAAATGTCCATCCAAATCCTGTAATCTTGACCCCATGCCCATGGTTAGTTAAAAACCACTTACCGGCTCTTATCCAGATCCTATGTCGCATTGTGAACGGCTGTGTTTCCAGCAGGTGTGTTTCCAGCAGAACTCCGTAGACCTTTGATAACCCCTGTCCTGAAAAGATCTTTGCTTGACACTCAGCAACTGCAAAGTTACCGACCCGTGTCAAACTTACCCTTTTTATGTAAACGTATTGAAAAGGTCGTTTCCTCACAGGTTGCATCTTTCGTCCATTCCAATAACTTGTCCTAGCCTTTGCAGTCTGCTTACTGGCCGACACATAGCACTGAAACTGCTCTCCTCACAGTTCGGGATGTTGTCCTTTTGATGTTGTCGAGCTATTGACTCCAAGCGGGACGTCTTCCTCATCATGATTGACCTGTCGGCAGCATTTGATACAGTTGATCACAGTACCCTCTTACAACGTCTCCGTCATGACTTTGGTCTGAAGGGTACTGTCTTGAACTGGTCCCGTTCGTATTTGAGGGGTAGAACGAGTCAAGTCCTTGTGAGGGAGGCGCTCTCTGCTGAAGCCAATCTCAAATATGGTGTTCCTCATGGATCTGTCATTGGTCCACAGCTATTCACTTACTACACCCACTCTATTGATCAAATAGCCCGTCAACATTCCATACAATACCACATTTATGCAGATGATGTCCAAATGTTCTTGACCTTTGATCCCCATCCAGCCAGGAGATGCTGTCTGTGCTCTGCTTCGATTGTCCCAGTGTGTCCACGAGCTTCAATCTTGGATGACATCTAATAAACTCCGGATGAATCCAGACAAGACGGAGTTCTTCATTGCGTCTCTCCTGCTCACTTCAAACATCTCCAAAATTTCACTTTTAACATTGATGGCATTGAAATTCACCCTTCTCTCTCGGTCAGTAAGTTAGGTGTTGTGTTTGACCACGACATGAAAATGTCTGACCACATAACACAACTCTGTCGCTCTCTCAACTGGCACATACGCAACCTCAGCCGGATCAGGACATTTCTTGACTGTGATGCCTGCCACAACACTGTCCGTGCCTTGATTCTTTCAAAACTGGACAATTGCAGCTTCCTTCTTAATGGACTCTCCAAGAAAGAAATGTCACGTCTTCAGAGACTTCAAAACACATGTGCAAGACCCCCAAACACACCCATACCTCTCCTGTGCTTAAACAACTACACTGGCTCCGAGTCGCCGAACGTATTCAGCTTCGCAGACTGGTTCACACTTACAAGTCACCTAAACTCTCTGCACCAGATTATCTCCTCTCTTCTCAAAATCCAAAAAAGTCCTTACTCCCTTCGTTCTTCTACTTGTGAGACTCTTGTCATCCCAAAGTCACATAAATTGGCTGGTGACAGAGCCTTCTCTGTTGCCGCCCCGGCTATTGAACAACCTGCCCATCTCCATTAGAAACTCAGGCAGAGTCTTTTCCTTCAAAAAAGCTCTCAACCAGACCTATTCCCCCAAACGTAGCTGCATGTCCTTCTTTTGATGTTTTTTTGTCTTCTATTCCTCTTTCTTCTTTTCTAGCGCCTTGTATCCTTTGGTAATTTGGCGCTTTACAAATCCAGTTATTATTATTATTATCCGGACGATAGAAAACAGCCATTGTCCAGGAGAAATGTCATAAGCCCCAATCGTATATAGTAAAAACCCCTACCGACAGTATTCTACGTCCCAACCGTACACACATCCGTGATATAGAGCTAGCCAAGAAGACCGTGACCTTTACACTTGACCCCCAAGTCGTCAGGTACCACTATCTTGGTACTTGGTACTTGGTTGGTTCTTCTCCTGTAAGACTTCCACAAGGGAGTATAACTAGGAGGCCAGAAACACCGGGCAAACTCCTTCTCTTAGCGATAAGTGTTACTGAGTTCTTTTACGTGCATTGCATTACACAACACACGGGGCCTCCGGCTTTACGTCCCATCCGAAGGACGAAGCAATAATGGTTAAGTGCCTTGCTTAAGGGCACAAGTGTCCGAGCCCGGGCTCGAACCCACGCCACTGTTTTCCTCTGAATCATCAGAGCATGAGTCCGGTGCTCTTAACCGCTAGGCCATGATACTCCATGATAGGAGCATGAGTCCGGTGCTCTTAACCGCTAGGCCATGATACTCTATCTTCCAACTAACCAACTGCAATTTCCTCAATGACATCATAGCCACGTACAATCCAGGCGATCAAAAAGCAACCATACAGGACTTGCTCTGGACGTCTTTTGCGAAAGCTAGAAAGGCTGTCATTGTAAACATTTATGTTCATCAGATCTCCTTCAGATTGTCCATCAGATTCTCCATCAGTGTTCTCGCAAAACATCTTTGTCTTACTTGATTTTTATTCACTCTTATTACCAGCAGAAAACTTAATATTCATCCGGCTAAAAATTCATAAAATCCGGGTTTGCCAGAACCAAGATTCAATTCAGTTGATTTGAGAAAGCACAGTTTATTTGGTATTTTAAATTATTTCCCTTTTTTATCTTCCAGAAATCTAAAAAAGTTTCTAAAAATCTAATCGAAATTACAATGATCTAAAAAGTTTCTTTGATTATCCAGTAACTCATAACAAATAAAGAAAAGAAAGAGAAAAGCCCCTAAGCAAAACAATCAGTAGACTTTTTTTTAATCCAAGAATTTTGGAAACCATTTTAATTTTCTGCTGCAGCCAAACAAATTATTTTTTCTTTTGCAAGAATGGATGTAGATAGATCCACTACAATCATTTTCACATTTTTTTTTTCTAAAAAAGAACTGTTTATGTCAAGATTGGAAAGATTATTCTTAAAATCACATTTTTTTTCTATGAAAAGGGGGATGTCACATCTCCACCTGTCACATGAGGGCGTTATATACTTGTCCAACATGGCTGATTAAAGAAGTGAAGGTTTAAGGGAATGTACAATACATGCTCTTGCTGCAATTTTCAGTCGAAAATGGATTTGGGGGAGCCGGGAGTGGAATGTTATGGCAAATATTGTTAACTGACTTGTTTCACTTCTTGAGCTTGAAGATGCTGGAAAAACCAAACAAAACATCAAGTTATTGTAATCTGGTTCCCTGACCCTACTTAAGATGAAGCGGAGCAGTTTTTTGACTTTGGGGAATTGTAAGGTAAGATAATCAGTCCAACAGGCTTGTACCCCTAAACAGGTGCGTAATCAATTGCAAAGAAAATGAGGAAAAACTAATTATGAAAAATTAAGAGCAGTAAAATGAAATGCCAGAACACCAGTAGCCACGATTTTACAGGCTGCTTTATAATGTCATTCCCTAACAATCCAGTAATATATTTCGTGATAACTTGATCATTTTTTTGTATGTTTGTAAATGTTGTATCTTCCCTTTAAGAAGTACCTGTGCGTATTCCCGTTCCTTAGGCCACATGCTAATTATCCCTATAAAGAGTGAGCAAAAAAGGAAGTGCCCGGATAAGAAATATATATTTAGAAAACACATGTGGATCGCTCCATATCATGAAGATTACACGGGGATAGAGTGCATTCATTGCAGCAGTCCACATACCGTTCTGATGAAAACGCATTAAATACAATCAAGCCCGAACCTTTTCCCACTAGTACCTCCATAAAACAGAAACGTGCAAAGGAAAACACAAACATCTTGTCATCAATATGCGAGAGGGGTGGGAGTTGACCTATTCCTTTTACACAAACACAAATCTGACAGTCACAAAAATGTTTTAGTTTTAGCACAACTGTTGAAAATCTCGATTGAGTTTGAATGTTTGTGTGAAGTATGCAATTCTTTTTCCATATACACATGTAAACATTTGACTTTTTTTTTTTACAGATGATTGGAAAAACATGCTCTTTTAAGACATACTTCATTGGTTATCAAATAGTGATTGCTTTTAAAGTAAAAGAAAAAAATATTTACCCATGTCACTTTCTTTTTACCTAATCCTGTAAAATACTATAGGCCTATAACGATGAAAAGAAATAACTATAGCATTTAGGGAATATCTTTATTAAGAACATTGGGCCTATGACAAGAGCCACACGTTCCATTTGTACCTTCTATTCATATCACACCCTTAGGGTAATAATCAGTTCACAATGTAGGCCCATATTCTTCGTCATAAAACCCAAGCACGTTCTTTAAATTGATAGAAGTGTTGATGTGATTTGAGTAATCGTTACTGCTGAGCTCCTTAAATTTACTTATCCCAGTGCGATCCAGTACCTCGATTTCCAGTTATCTTCTACATTAGCTGTTACCTCTATGCCCGAATAGCCTCATTTATTTCCATAACAAAAAGTAGCATCCATATCTACGGAATGTGCGCTTGGGGTTGATCGGCCTCTGCTTCGTAATTGTTTAATGCAGGAGCCTACGAGGAACCTCTTCAAGTTTCTCAAAAGAAGGCTTACCTCCAAACTGGCCACGCCTACCAGTTTCCCTGCACAGTCATCAGGCCTGGTGAATCGGTATCAATCGTCTTCTGGTTAAGAGGAGAAAGTCTGGATCCCGCCTTACGTGACGTCATTCTTCGCCAGGCATATCCCAACGATGGTCTGAATTTTGCATTGGACCGGTACCAGATTTCTTCTTCCTACGGAATCATCATTGACCCAGTGAACATGACTGACACCAATAGGTATTGGTGTAAAACGGTGCGCAAACCTTCCAATCAGTTCGTGGAGGACTATCTGGATGTGACAGTTGTAGGTAGGACAGTTGAAGTCAATCACATGTCAAGTAACAAGTTATTCTAATGAACTGTGAAAAAGATTGGATGACGTAATTGTTTTTCTTTACGTCACTGCCAACATATGCTATGATCAGCCTTAAATTCATCAACACCTCATATCCATAGTTACATCAATGCAATCACGACAATACAAGGTGACAGTGACCAAACAGATTGCAACGTTCTTGTTCAGTCCGAGGGTCACGATTGCTCCAATTGTCTTACCTCAACCACAACCAAGATCACAACCCGTCTTATAGCCATTACAACAGCTAAATTTACACCTAAAACCACACTCGTACACACACATGAAACACAACAAAGACATAAGATCATTAACATTTCACTGCGTACAAATGGCAATACCATGCCTTTGCATACGCTTACCATGACCATTTCTTAATTAACAGTGATAGCGCCAATGGTTTACAGTAACCACAATAACTTTCAGGACTATGTTAGTAACAATTACACATCATCTTTGTTTATGCTGGGCTAAGCCAAACTCTATTTAAGGGTTAAATCCTACGTCAGTCATATATAACGGTTTTTGGTTATTTCCAGATAAGACATTCCCTAAAGATAATGACTCGATCGTCGAAGAGACTTCTGTATCGCTGAGCATCGAGAGTGAAAATACGATTCAATGCCCACTACTCCCGCAAGCACCAACTGAGACCGATACCACAGTTTACTGGTCAATCTTGACGGATAATGACAAACATTTTGGAATTATTTTTGCCAAGTTTGCAAACGGTGATACATTGTCAGTTCAAGAATTTGCTGGAACGCACGGCCCGGAGGGAAACAATGGATTATACATCAAGAGTTTCAAAAGAAGAGACGAAGTATATTGTTGTCACGTGTTCGAGGAAGGGAGCGACTTAAGAACCGCATGTATCGACGTGACCTGGCTTGGTGAGTGTCTAATTTTGATGACGTCGTTGTAATTGTTTCCAAAATGCCCTTATTGTTATATATTCAAGCCAGAGAGTGGTAGAGAAACCTCTTATTGTATCCAAGCAATACAACTTGTCATCCTGCGGACCTCAGCTAGCAGTATGGAATGGTACGACTAATCACCAAATCTTACTGCTCGTCACCCAATACAGATTACATGTCAGTGTCAAGAAGAAAAGCCAAGATAAAGCCAATACTATCCTGCGGGGCTCGAAGTTGTCCCATGCATTTTGTGGCTTGATGACAAATAATAGACTTGAGCTGGCCGTTGACATCCTGCTGCTTGAGACTGAAGACACAACAGCCAGGGGATTAGTTATATATGTGTCATGTTGCCTCCAGGGTCTCTGTGCTGCGCTGCGAAACATGATCACAACGATCATAACAATAGGGAAGTAAATTGCATACGAACATTTGCTCTCTTTCTGTAGGCCTATGTTGATCACATATAATGGTGTTAAATCAGGGTGTAAAATTACTATACACCATTATAATCCCGGGACATAACGTTATTTCGTTTTACCGTTTTGGATTTCCTCAAAAACAACAACAGTAAACGCACCGTTGACCGTTTTGTCGTTTTACAGTTTTGTAAAACGGTCGAACGGTATTAGGTCACAAAAAACAATGACCTTTATGTTTTTTTTTTTAATTGTTGAAAGCGATAAACGGTCAGTTGCTTCATTTCAGAGTGTTGTTTCACAAGAACATGACAATAAAAAACGGTCAATAGTCCTGTCCACCATTTTTTTTTGATTTAGGTTCTGCAATTAAGCAATGCACTTAGGAATGTAATGCGACCTCATGGGATCGAGCCATTGCCTGGGATCCAAATTACCCTCCTCACATTTCGTTCTCACGACATAGTTTTCGAACTGGCTATTGAAGAGCCGCGCCGAACTCCAATTTCCTTCAAAAATCTGCAACCTCTTCAAACGTCTTACCATCCTGTATCCATTGTAAAAAGTATTGTCCTCCATTGAAGTTTTCCAGCGCCATTTGTGCTTGCAACTCTTAAGCCCCACCAACTGAATCGCGTGAGAAGGGGGTCAGGGTCACGCAAGGAATCATCACACCACGCATTATGCCGAGGTAACACTTTTTCATGTAAAGCATGATCCCCTTCCATCCCCCTTGCCCAGCACCACAAAATGCACCACGGACTGTTCACTATGACACTGAAAAAAAAACATTCTGTATTCAATACTGACCGTTTTGCTGTTTTTTCAAAGTTATTTGTGTAAAATTGTAAAACAAAAATCATTGATCGTTATGCTGTAATGAATTTTATTAAACTTATAAAACAGAGAAACCGTATTTATCTTAATACCGTTTGACCGTTTTACAAAACTGTAAAGCGACAAAACGGTCAATGGTTTGTTTACTGTTTTTCTTTTGAGGAAATCCAAAACGGTAAAATGAAATAACGGTATGTCCCGATATTATTATGCTGTCTCTTTGTGAAGAGCCTTATATTATAAACATGTCAAACCTTCCGCTCTATCAACAGCTTTAGCAACCGAAAGGCGTCCCACAATTTTAGACTGCAGCTCTACGGGCGAAGGTTGTGAGGTAGAAATCAGTCCATACCAAAACTGCCTGCACTTCGAATGTTCTATCAATGAGGTCTACCCAAAGCCCACGCTTATCTGGTCGTACACAAACTGCAAAGAAAGTCCAACCTTCTTCACAACTTTGTCATCAGGGAAAAACGAGACCAATGACGTTTTCCATGTACAATCAAACGTTTACCTGTTCGACTTGCAAAAGTCGCTTAACGGTTGTAGTTTGCTCTGTACAGCTCACGGTGAGGCCATTCCGGACCAGACAAAGCCAGCAAGTGTAATCGTTACTCGTAAGTCAGTTTTGCTAAATTACATTAATGATACAAGACATGGGCCTTAAGGCCTATTAACTTTGGGTTTTGCTGGTCCAGGTAAAATCCTAATTAGCTTTTTGCAAACCTTTCCTGATCGACTGAATGACTAATAGATTGACTGGCTGACCGACGGATAATTTAATTGCGACTCAGTCTACACCGGTGGTAGACTGCTGAAACGAGAGTCTAGAAGTGTTCCGTAACGTCAATGAATTGGCTACACCGTCATGTACACCATCAAAACACTTCCATTGATAGTCAACTGGATAATTGGATTAAAACCTTGCGCACCCTGAATTAATTATCGTACATAGGCTCGTTTTAAACTAACCTTCCTACCTTTCTGTAGGTCTTAGTGAAACTACAACAACCCAGATGGTGACGAGCACCTGTACCTGCCCCGGCTGCAACTGTTCCGGTTTCGGTTTTACTCTCTTCGTGACAATCGTTTCTCCTGTGGTTTTTCTCTTGATCACTGTCATGCTGATTTGTCCAAAAAGTCAGCAATTTATTCAAAATCATGTCAGTGACATCCCAACCCTGCCCTGGTTTCATGAACAGTGTACCAATCTTGAGACAGATAATCTTGAGACAGAGAATCAGTCGTCATCCGAAGGTAAAACAAATGCATTCGATAACTAATAATTTTAAATAAATACAGGATTGCAGTATTATTTGGAAAAAGGAAATATGTAATCTTTTTAAATTCAGTCTCATAAACATGATTCGTACTTATAAATTTGTAGAAATTCAAAATTTCTTTCTGTTAAATTTCTTTAGAAAGACAACCTGTCGAGACATCATTCTTGATGCCTAGTACCGAGGAACAAAAGACCGCTAGTGAGAAGAAGGGTATTATTTTCATCCATCTTGTCCACTTTCAAAAAATAAATGTTGATAAGCCGCTTCGAATTGCTGCCTAAAAAGCAATCTAGCCTCGACATGTTCCCATTTATTATCGAAAAAAAGTGAGCATGACGCATTTCGTGGAAATGATTCTTGGTTATAGAAAACAATTTACGACTGGTGTAGTAAAACTAGCCTCCATAGGTGATCCATGTGCCGAAAAAAAAATTGTCCATGGATCACAGAGGGAGGCGAGTTTCACAACACCTCGAGATAAAGCAGTCAATATTTGTTTAAAAACACCTCTCCCATAGATTCTGATTGAGTTTCAGCGATAACTGGTTAAGTTCACCAAAAAAAAAAGTGAAACGTACTTCTTTTTTATTACGAAATATGTACTTTCCCAAAACTACCCCTTCACAAAATGTTTGGACGCAGCTTTGGAACTATACGTGCAAAGCGCACACCCATATAGTTATACATGTATTTGCCGGTCACAATACCAACCAACATACCAACACAATTCAGCAAAATAGCAAAAATAGCGAATGCCATATGATTTGCTCTTAGGCAATCGAGATACAAATGTGTGAGAAAGGTGTTATCACTATTATAACACCTCACCCACACATTCCGTATCTCGATTGGCCGAGAGCAAGTTACATGAAATTCGAAATTTTCTGCCATCTTGCTGTTCACGGCCAAAAGTGCTATACCCATAGCAACGAAAGTACTATACCCGTAGCCACCAAAGTAATACGGATGTGCGCGTTGCTCGTATATTTGTCCCGAGCGCTAGCGCTACAAAGTTAGGTTTCAATTTCGTGAGGGGGTAGTTTGGAACTATTTGAATTAAATTGTATTAGTATTAAGATTAAATCAAATCAAATATTGACTGCTTTATCTCTGTGATCCATGGTGCATTATATTTTCCTTAAGCTTTGCCTCGAAACAGAAAGATTGCTTCATGGATCACCTAAAGAAACTTGTTTTACTACACCATGCAGCCAGTATTTGTATTTTTGCCACATTCACTGGTAAATTTTCTTATTCGATGAATATTTATCTACAGTAGTTAATTTTTGTCTTGCAGATGTATGCCTCAAGAACGGAGGAAGCGCAGAAGTTGATCTAACAGGTATGTTCATGTCTTAGGCAAAAACAAATGTACTTCATCTAGACCAGATGCGTGAAAACATGTCCAGTGGAAGCCACTCTGAATGTTTTGTATAAAATTCTGTGCATACACCCCGGGACCTGCTTTATGCAGCCTGACTCGTCTTGTTATAAAGTTATCAAAACTTATCTGATAAGGTTTCTATGTACACCGAATTTAGAAAAGAAAGATTGAAATTGATTCCTGTTTTGTATAGATGTACACTTCATTTGGAATTACATTGGACAGTTGGTCGCCGAGGCTGCTTTGCAGGAGGACAATATGAGTGGATTTGAAGCTGTAATGGAAGTCATAAGTATCCAAGAAGGCGGCGTGGTGATCATTGATTCAAAAGGCTTGCACCTATTCACAGCTGAGTATCATTATCGGTTTATTAACCTGTATGGAGCTTTTAGTGACAAAGGTTACATATGCGTAGCATATTTTACGAAAGACAAGTTACTGTTTGGATTACAATGGGGTAAACTTGTGATTTTTGATATCGTAAATGAACAGGTCACCAACTTTGGCTCCGTCACCCCAGTAAAAGATAAGATAGTGCGATTGAATGGCATAGCGGTGGGTAGTTTGGGGTATGTGCTTGCAAGTGATGAGAACGGAAAAGCAATATCAATTTTTGATCATGAGGGTGCGTGTTTGAAACGCTTTGACACGCCAAGTGTCGAACCAGGTTCTCTGGCGCTTCATTTTCGTAAAGAAACCTTGAGCTTCTTCGTCACTTCGGGTCAGGTAGTAAGGAAGTATCATACTTGGGGAGAGAAAAGGCAATCCAAGATATATCATGCTCACCATTTTGACATCAACAAAGAAACACTGGAAGGAAAAGAATTCAAACCTGGCTATATATCAGTGCAAGAAGACAAACTTTTGGTTGTAAACCATCTGCATGATCCCGAGGTACTGCAGATTTTACAATTAAACGTTAACAACGGAAAATTCCTGCATAGCATTATAGCTAGGGCACCTGGTATTCGTGGCGTGAAGTTCATCAGTGGAGACAGGATAGTTATGTATACTGGTGACTCAGTACACGTACTTCAAAAGGGCAGTCCAAAACAAAAATAGTCATAGATGAAAACGTTTTCTCACACAAGATCTGGTTTGACAGTACAGATAAAATAATAATATTGCAAACTTCAAACAGGCATGTTTTGGGAGCCTTCTAACAACTTAATGTGATTTTGGCAAGCACAGACGCTGTTGCAGCTAATTGAATGGTATTTAAAACGGCATTTAAAAAAATATCCCCAATTGAAATATATGTTTTGGGCTTAGGAGGTAATTTGGTGTCAACACACGAAGTTCAGGGCGGACAATGAGTAGTTATTTACTTGAAATAACATGAGAGGGCTTCAGCCAAGTGCATTATCCAAAACTGAAGTATATGTTTCCGAGATGTAAAGTAGTATAATGTCAGTACATGAAATTGGGGGTGACAAATAGTTTCGTGCAATAACATGCGAGGGCTTCATTAAAGAAACACTCAAATGCCCAGTTTTCAGAATTTTATAGGTAAGCGTACGGTTGTGCGTTTTCGGAAAGAGGAGATCCCTGATTCTTCGCCTTTTTAATCTTCATAAAAAGTAGTACAGATTGGTACAGACTATATATTACAGATTAGAAAAAGTGTTATATAGTACTAACAATGTATACTCTGTATACTGTGTATAGCGTACTATTATGTATATACAATATATAATGTGTATATAGTATCATACGTATTTATTGTAAACAGATATTGGTTTTATTTACCAGCGTTATGTTCAGAGGCACTGCTATGAAGAAAAAAATGTGGGTTTTTTTCTTTAGTTACAACTCTTGTTACCATTTTAATGATTTACAGTGTGGTAATAGGGTACCGTATGTGTCCCACTAAAAATCGTATGCAAAACTTATCGTCAACTCCTATTATTCTTCTTTCTTAAATATATTCAAATCTTACTTATAGCCCACAAAATGCATTTTTTTTATTCATTTAAGCTATCAATAATTTATAGTGATCTTTGAAAACGAGTTCTTTAAGAGAAAATAGCGCACCTTGCGTTTGTAGGCTACTCTGGAGAAGCGAAACACAAACACGACAGTGCCAGTTAATAAAGGGTAATAACACGCGTATAATAAATAATTAAATTGATATATACATATATAGTTAACAACATAATATGGAGGGAATAACGGGAATTATGTTTAGCTGGTTATTGAATCTGATATTGATTTAAGCACAATTCTTCAATTTCCCAATTTCCTCTGCCTTTGTTTTTAACCTGTTGGTTTAGTTTTTGAGAATTATTTAGAAGCGTGCAGGGTTTTCATTTGTTTATGTTATAAATACGTATTTATTACAATCAGTCTAATCTTAATGTCATTAGCTATTCTATTTTTTTTTCTATTTTAAGTAATACCACAAACAAATCGGATCGAATCGAATCAAACAAATCTGTTACCATTTTATTAACAATCTACGCAGTCGAAAGTGGTCATATTCTCAGTTGGAAATTATACAAAAATTGTGTTTGCGTTCAAAGTACATCACCAAAAAGTGACTATTCAGATTATAACATTCATTCCACTTGATTATCTCTTGTAAAGATTTGTTTAGTTCTGGAAATGAACATGGCAGTTGGTAGCCTATTACTGGAGTAGTGAAACTCAAACACTTTCGACTGCGCAACAGTGGCGTAGCCACGGGGGGACCAAACATATTGTCCATGCCCCTTAGTCCCCCCTCTAAAATACTGATAATACCCCTTGTCCTTTCCCAACCAAAACATGTGGTATTTTTTGTTGAGTTGTATGTTTTCAGTTAGCTGAAGGCTTACTGTTTAAAGCGTCTTATGTCAATCCAAATCGAGGTATAAGCCCCAGCTACGCCACTGTTGCGCGAGTCGAGGGTTATGTCACTTTTGACCCATGTTTACTGTAATACATGTAAATGTATATTTTACGATATATACAAACATCGTGTGAACCTTGAACCTAAATATACATTTTGCTTGGTTTGTTTTCCAAGCATAAAATATTTATGTATAATTCTAACGAAACAACTAGATTGGTTTCATCGAGCCATGCTTTCCAGTGGCCAACGAGTATGTAGTAGTTTATATTCTCCTCATTAACCTAGTTACATTTTTATTTATGTATTATTTTTATTTTTATATTTCAAGTATTATTTATGTCTTTTTTTAAAAATACCTACCTGCCTTTAGTGCTTGAATGCATGAACGCGCGTTTTATTCTCATGTACGCTTTTTTGTGGGAACCATGTGGGATGCTTCCCACATGGCTACGTGGCTCTCATGGGAGAGCGCACATGTGGGCGATGCGTGGCGTCGTTGGGTCCGAGGTCTATTGCTTTTCTTATTTTTTTAGGGAATGTGTTTTTATTATCTGGTTTCCATCTAAGTTATTCGTTTGCTTATTTATGTTTAATTTATTTCCTTACTCAAGTTCAGATCATTACTTGCTTTTAGTGTTTCAGTTGCCTGCATTTCACTTGCTTTTACCTTATTTCTTTTAGAAATATACAATGTCTTTATTGAAATTTATTTGTTTTATAGTTGTTTACTTGTCTTTTCACTTGATTTCACTTTTGTCTTGTTTCTCGTAAGCATGCTTCCCTGATAATATTACCACGCTTGTTTCACTTGAAACATTAATTAGCTGTTTCGGAATACATACCCCAAAACAGCTGTTGTTTTCTTTATTCAATAATATCCCATTTTTCCCTCTTCCCCTCTTCTTTGTCTTTGTCAGACTCTCTTCATGGGTTGTGTACATTTTTTTTTTTTTTTTTTAACCCACTTATGTACTTTTGGCACTTTCGAAAATCTGATCGACGTAAGACTTGGAACACACGTAGGCCACTATCCTTAAAGATGTACGCCAAAGATTGTAGTCGCGATGACGTATTCATCAAGTGAAACGTTACTTCACTTTATTTTAGTATATTTTAGTAGTTTTGTATTGATTTATTATTTAGTATTTTCTATGTTACTAAGGTTGTATTCTATAACCGTAGAATACGATATGTTTAATTCCTTGATAATTGGGGGGAATATTTTGAGAGTAATACAATGTATAGATTTTCTAGTTAACGGTTGAGCCTTTCCACTCACTGTATTTATCATGTAGTAATTTCGTATGTATTGATTAGTATAGATACATACATTGATGTTAATTAACTGTTCAGATTCAAAAACATTGAATACATGTATAATAACATGAATTCTGTTAGTATTAACCAATTAATTCAAGCATCTTTATAACTCGCATTATAACATCTCTATAGAAAGTTCCAAACTCCAAATGCTTTAAAATATCCTGGTTCAACACAGTTCAACTGAAAAACTCTTTCTTCAATTTCTCAAACTCAAAATCAATTTAAAAAAAAAGCCTGCTAGACTCCCATTGGCCAGACACCAACCACACCGGAGTAAGGAGTGTTGAAATACAGAAGCCAAGATGGCGACTGATGCCTTTGTGCAGTAATGGGAGATCTTAGTGGCCAACCTATAAGTGCCGCCGATCCCTTTGTGTCAACCCTTCGTGCCGCCCAGAGTTCAGATTGTAAACAATCCCTGGTCATGTGAATAACCTATATCTTGTGCATGTACAGGCTTGCCATGGCTAGTGACTTATAAACACACGTGGTGATAAAATTCTCCAAGTGGCCATTCCGCATTAAGGTTTTTGGCTTGATCAACGAAAAGTTAATAGGTTTCTGCAATTTACCCAAACAGATACAGATACAGCTATAGAGACTTAATTTGCTAAGAAATAATCCATTAAAATGCCCTCAAGAGAATCCAAACACACCAAGCACTGTACTGGGTCATTTTGTTAGCCACATTGAAAAAAAATTTACATTTCGGTTTAGATCAAACTGTTTTGCAAATTAAATTTTCACTTAGTTTAAAGGGAATATACATCATTTGCTTTTGCTGTAATTTTCAGAAATGGATGGAATTTGGGGGTTGGAAATATATAGCAAATATAGTTACACTGACTTTTTTGAGGTTTTGGGTTCGAAAATGCTATAAAACAAAGAAAAACAATCATTTTCCTGTAGTCTGGTTCCCTGACTCCATTTAAGAAGAAACAGAGCAGTTTACATATATTGGGGAATTGTAAGGTCAGGGAACCAGTCTAGCTGGCTTGTACCCGTTCATAGGTGTGTAATCGATTGCAAACAAGTGCGATGGTCAACTGGGGCCAGTATTTGAAAAAAAGCCAGTTTTTTCCAACGCTGATCGGCCGATCAGCGTTGGAAATTGATACAAAAATACCACTTTTCTTGAAAATGACAGTATACCAGGTGCCATGATTTTACAGGATGCTTTACACTGTCATTCACTAACAGTCCAGCAAGGTATTTCAAAATGATTTGGTAGTTTTATTTTTTGATGTTTGCAAATGTTGTATTTTCCCTTTAATGATTTTTTTAAACTTTTTTTTTCTATTTTTTTTTTTTGAAAAGCCGCTCTTGTATTTCCGTTTTTAAATTATAAATAGGCCTTCCAGAATACATTTTGTTATGATCCACCTATATTTATGTTTAACAAATGAATTGTGCATTAGGTGCAGCAATTTTTCTATTCTGTGCTTAATAAATCTTTTGCTATTATTTTATGTAAAAACACAACAGCTTACAAAATGAATATGTACTGTTTGTCTCTCATAAAAATAATTCTTTGTTATTACAATCGCAGTAGGGAGTTATGGTTAATGTACACTACATTTATTCGTACAGGAATCAATCCCTGAAATATTAGCAGACTTTGCTTTATTTTACTGCTGTTATAATCAGATAAATTTTGAACCTTTTTATTTTTTTATCGAGAATTTGTTCACATTCAAAGTGTTATCTTGTGTTTACAGTGTCGATTAAAGCTGTTATGTATGTGGCAAGAATTGAAAAAAAAAATGATTAATGTATGTTTTAGATGTTCCAGGAAGTACAAGACATGCCGAACTGTGTGACTGTTTATTGCGCCTACTCCGAAGTATCTAAGAAAAAAGACTACATTCAGGCAGCAATGTCTCAGTGAGGGAGCAGCTATAACAGAGACGCCCTGGAATTTGAGGAAGAAAGACGAATTTTGTAATTCATGCCTTTTAAAGTATTTCTTGTTTATCACAATTAGTAAATGACAGTGCAAACAAACTAGCTGATAACTAATTTACAATTAATTGAACTCTTTCATTGAAGTTTTAAAGAATTGAACTTGTCTGCACTATTAAATTGTATCAACATAAGAACAAAACCCAATATTGTCGTGTGAATGGAATGTTTGTCTTAAACCCATAGGAATAATCTAATCAAAAGAGCCAAACTGGCATTGTCTGATCTTTGAAACACTCGGGTTTTTTTTTTTTTTTTTTGGCTTTGCAGTTATTCAAACATATCTCTTGATTTACAAAAGCAGTCTTAGTTAAACAAACGGTATTTTCAAGCTAAATCTGTAACCTTGAAGATCGTGTAAACATTTGCGTTAAATTCCGGTTGTAACTTGGCGAGAATGGTGGGGATTACATGCACCATTATATTTAGGACACCCTGTATATAGGCTAGATAAAAAAAAAAATAGGTAATATAAAGTGAATGGGTCAATATGTAAAGGCTTGTTCATAGGCTTGGCATTAATATATCGCATTGCATATATCGCAATTTTTGGCTGTGGTGAGGAGTTATGCCATTTTCAATGTAGAGGCTCATGTTTTATTAGCCGTGTTCTTTGCCTGTGCTTTTCATCAAAATGGTATGATGGATATACATGAAACTTTCACCAAATATGTCCAAAATACCTGCCTGTCAAATACCTCATAATTTTACACAGTGATAATTGCTACGTATTTTTACAATGTTTGTTATATTTTTCTTCAATGTCGGGTCCGGGTCATTCTCACTCGCCCTGTATTTCACGGAGTCTACGGAGGGTGGTTAGGTGGGTTCTCTGGTCTTCCTTTGGGCCGCAAAATGAAATTCGAAATACAAGGCAGAACATAACTCACAAAATGCCTGCTAAACGTTATATATGTAGCTCAATATCGACCAAAATCAACATCAGTAAGCCTACTATTGGGTAGGCTTCTAACTGCAGTGCAAATTACACCCGCACAAAGGTCCCTACTCCATAATAACAGCTAATACGTTAATGCTATCGTAGTGAGCTCTTTTAACGGGTGTCTGGCCAAAGTTCAAGTACAAACGACAAAAACAACTAAAACTAGAGTCTGTGTGTAAGCCTATTGATTGCATGGAGTGAGGTGCTACATGATTTGCGCCTTTTTTTTAATACGACACATTTCTAACACCGAATGTTTCATTGCACATCTTTACTTCTTCCTGCCGGCTTTTATTGGTGAGTTTGCTTGATTAGTAGCATCTAGATATGAAAACAAAATCGAGCAAATCATTGATGTTTGTGAAAGCTTTGCACAGCTTGGTTTTTCCATATCTGACGCAATGATAATATGGAAAAACCCTTTTCGTCGTAGTCTTTATTTGAGACGCGTGTGTCAACCTTGACGCGTGACGCTCTACATTATGGTACTCACCGCTCGTGCTAGTCGTTTTACGTGCCAGCGTAAGGGGTGCGTCACGTGTCCAGGTAAGCGCATAAGCCTTGACTAAAGGCGCAGCAGGTATAAATTCAACAAACAATAAAAAATGTATACTTTACTTTTTTACAAACATAACAGGCAACTTAAAGGCCGGAGAAAGCGGCGGCCGGAGAAAGCGGCAGGGGTCACAACTGTGCTTCAAAAAAGAACATCGGTAGCTTTGGACAACGTGCGTTGGGTTGTATATAGACTCCGGACATGTTTCTTCACAAATGTGTTGTGTTACATTTTTAAGGAAGATCTAACTAACGAAATATGTTTTACCTTGAAGTCTTTTTTTCCCGAACTAAACGATCCGAACACGATTTCCGGCCCTGTTAATTTACGTGTATTGTCAATAGCAATTTTTCAAAAACAGATTTACATACAATGTCAAAAACATATAGCGAAGACTAAAACATTTCAACGTTTTTCTAAACTGTATTTCCAAAGTGGCAGATGAAAAAATGAAGACCCTTCTACTTCTGCTGATCTTCATTGGATTATGTGTACTTGGAAATCAAGCAATGAATATAAAGCACCACTCGGAGTCAGACGATCATTCTTCCCTCAGAAGACGATTGAAAAGAAGTGGTAGGGTTATGTTTTTTTTCACGGGCAACACTACACTAGAAAGTGTAAAGGTCATTCGCTGAAATCCCTATATATGATAGCAAATAATAATAACCAAACGTCTTTATTAAGATGAGGAGGCCTGGTGAGATGAACTGAAGCTTGTTGTTGATATTACAACCATTTATCTTTTAGGGTAATAATCACTTCATATTGTGTCTCCACAAATCCAACAAAATAGGCCTATATTCTAAATTATTTAAAAACGCCATGTGCATTTTTAACCGATAACAATTGTGTATGTGGCCGTGGGTGTGTGTACGTGTACAACCACTGCCTTGTGGGGCACCGGAACAATGGGAGGTACCCCACAAGGAATACCTGACGACTTGCGGGGTACCGTTTTGGTACCCAACAAGTTTTTCACGAAATAGACATATGGATTTTACTCAAAAACTAGGAATTTCCAAGGTGGGTTGATTCGTCGCAAATGGAAGAGTTTTAGAAAAGGGGTATTTAGTCCGAATTTCAGCCCAAGAAATTAA